TTTGCCAGTAAAATTGTCTGGGGCACTTGATAAAGAAAATTTCCGCTTCAATACTTTATCCCCAACTTTAAAATCTGCTTCACGGCGTTTTCTATCATAATATAACTTTTCTGCCTATTTCTTGCCGTATCCGAGCTTTTAAGCGCCTGATCAATAAGTTTTTGCACATCTTTTGTTTAAATTCCTGCTCTCTTTGTTGCACAAAGAATAATTTATCTAAAGGCGTAATTAACTTTCTGCCTAAAAATAATTCTGCTGGAGTTTTTCCCGTAGTATCATGATTTGCCGTTCTTAAAGCATAAGCTAATTCATTTATGTAGCCATCCCAGCGCTTGTGATGTGTGCTAACGTAACTGCGAATTATTTTTACAATTTTTATTAACTCTTTCTGCTATGTTAGCCTGTGGTCTATACGGAACCATTTTGATATGGCGTATGCCAAGTCCATTGCATATGTTTTCAAATATTTGACTAATGAATTGTTTTCCGTTATCGCTAATGACTTTTATCGGTGCACCGTATTTTAAAATGTATCTGTGTAAGAATGCATCTGCGACTGTTTTGGCTGACGCGCGTTTAAGTGGAACAATTTCTATCCATTTTGAAAAATGATCTACTATTACTAAAAGAAAACGATTTTTATTTAACTCGCTCTGGGGGAAGGGACCAAGGAAGATCTATGCCTAAAATTTCATTCGGAAATGTAGCGCGAATGCTATTTAAGTACCCGGCCGGGCTGTAATTAATATCATTTATTAACTGACATTGATTGCAGGACCTGACATACGCCGTTACTATTTTGTATAATTGCGGGAAATATACCGCCTCGCGTACCCTTTTTAAAGTCTTTCTGACCCCTAAGGTGGCCCGCTGTTTTTTTTCGTGCAACTCCTTCAAAATGCTTAATCGAAGCGAGGCTGGGATGACTGGTTTATACTCAAGATTTTCGTTTGTTGTTTTCGTATAGAATAATAAATTATCTATTATTTCATAGTTTTTTGCTCTATTTCTTATCGCATCGATATCTGTGTGCTCAAAGCTTTCGGGGTCTTTCAAATAAGCATAGATATTTCCAAATTCAGGATCAGCTTTCAGTTCAGTAATAACCGTATCTCTAGAATCTAAAATTTTTGAAGTCAACACAGCGCATTTAAGTTCATTTCCTTCATCGTCCAGTTTTATACGAGAAAGTGCGTCAGCTACATTGTTTTCCTTACCCGGTTTATATTTTATTGTGATATTATATTCTTGGAGTTTTAAAGCCCATCTTATTAACCTGGGCGTTAGGTTTTTTCCCGAGTAAAGTCTACCAACAGCCGCATGATCCGAAAAGACTGTTACTGGCGATTTGCCGAAATAAACTCGAAATTTGTGTACAGCCATTAATACGGCTAATGTTTCTCTTTCTGTAGCTGTATAATTCCTTTGTGTCTGATTCAATGTTTTACTAAAAAATGCCAGCGGATGGTTATTTTGCATAAGAACCGCACCCACCGCATAGTCTGACGCATCTGCTGCAATTTCCAGGTTTTCGTCCCCCTCAGGGAATTTTAAAACAGGGGCATTAATAAGCGCTTCTTTTAATCTTTCAAAAGCTGTGTGTTAGCTTCCGCTGTCCACGTAAATTTACTCTTTTTTCTTTTGATTACTAAGAGTGGTTCAACAATATTAGCGAAATCTTTTATGAAAGATCGATAGTAAGAACATAACCCAAGGAAAGAACGAAAGTTTCTTGGCGGGTGTTGGGCGGTGGGAAATTCTTAATAGCTTTTATTTTTGAATCTTGCGTTTCTATACCCTTTTGCGAAATTTTTATAACCGAGATATTTAAGTTCTTTAGTTGCGAACTTGCATTTTGAGGCGTTAATTGTAAGACCGGCCTCTTTTAATAATTTAAAAACTTGTTCGAGGATCATTAATGTGTTGTTCCAACGTACTACTCGTTATAATTATATCATCTAGATAAATTAAAGTTGATTTTCCTAGGACAGGCTTTAGAACAATGTCCATAGCTCTCTGGAATGTTGATGGGGCCCCACACAACCCAAAGGGCATGCGTAAAAATGCATAAGTGCCCGATTTTGTTATAAACGCGGTTTTATGTATATCTTCGGGTCTCATAGCTATTTGATAGTAGCCAGACGTTAAGTCCAAAGTAGACATATATCTTGTCGATTTGATCTGTCTAATGATCTCGTCTATAACCGGCAAAGGGTAAACTGGAAATTTAGTAATACTATTTAGTTTTCTGTAATCGATAGCAAACCTCCAAGCCCTTTTATCCGAAGGAGGAAACTCGTTCTTTTTCCTACATAGTACGACTGGACTCGCGTACTCACTATTTATGGGCGTTATTATTTTATTCTTTAACATCTCCTGAATATGTTCTTCGATGATTACGTCTTTTTGTTTGTCATAGCGATAAGGTTTAGTCCTACAAGGTTTTTCGGCATTTAATTGAATCTTGTGAGTCACGATTTGACAGTTTCCTGGTTTTTCTGAAAACAAATGAGAAAAATTACTCACCACTTGCTGTATTGCTTTACTTTCCATGGTCATTCAAATGGCTAAGGTCCAATTCAGGTGTCTCCACAGGTTCCACCACCCTCTGGTCCATCTCCAGCACCACGGAACTACTGTCTTGAAAATTTAATTTGGCCCTCGCGGCCCTTAAAAAGTCCATACCTAAAATAAGAGAGTGTTGCAGGTGTTTCACCACAAAAATTAATACTTTGAGGATTTTCCTCTTTTACCTGTAAGTTTAATGATACTTTCCCGATGCAGTGACATGTTTTTCCTTGCGCCGCTATAATTTCCGTATTTTCTGGTTTTAAATAAGTCGTATCCTATAAAAATTCTTTTTGAAGAAATTTTCACTCATAAAATTTCCTTCTGCTCCTGTATCGATGAGGGCTTCTACTGGTACATCGCCAACCAGGACTTGTATAATTGGTAGCTGTGAGTTTTTTACGATGACCGTATTTAAATGTCTATTTGAGGGTTTTTTAAAACTTCCGGGGTCTGGACCCTCCCTTTCACAGGCCCCTCTAGTCGTTTAAAGCTTTCCTTTCAATCTGTGTCTTCTGGGTACGCGGATGTTTATTTTCAAATTTTCTTTTTGGGCCTTGACCTTCGAGTTTCGATGCGTTAGCTTGATAGTTCTTTCCCCCATAAGAGCGATTTCCATTTCTGGTTTCCTCATTTGAAGATTTCCTTCGGGTACTTTGAGAATATGTTTCCCCTCTCGCTTTTTCCGCTATTCTGCGATTTTGAAACTTCACCGCCAATTCGAAAAGTTCCTGCAATGTGCTTGGGTTTCTAATTTCAAAGTAGTCTTGAACAGCGGGTAACAATCTTGGTAATATTATTTCAATAATCTCCGCATCGGGTTTCTTCCCATACAGCATATCCGTTCAGCTTGATTTTTCGTAAAATAAAGTCCGTCAATTGTCTGTATCCCGTTGATAGAGAAACTATATAGTTCGGCTTCCAGCCGTGCGCGATCTTTCACTATGGGGAAGGCCTTTACTAACGATTTTTTGAAATTTTCAAATGTATATGTCTGGCTTCCAAATTCCCCTAATAAAAATTTGCCTATATTTTTCCACCATAGCGCGGCCTGTCCTCTTAGTGCTGATGTGGCGATGGCAACTTTTTGTCTTTCAGGCACAGGGTAGAGCTGAAAGTGGTTTTCTAGACCTTCTAGAAATACCGCCACCGAATTTTTTCCGTCGAAATAGACGTTTGGCTTGATTGACGCTCTCAAAGTCTGGACCAGGTATCCAAATCCTTCCTAACTGGCTTGTCATTTCTTGGTGTTGTCCAGCGGCTTCCATCCAGTTTTCGGCCATTTCAGTTCGATAAGTGTTCGGGCGCCAATGTAACGTTGCGCGCCTCCAACTTGCACGCAACCAAGAGGTGACTGTGAAAACTTGTATAAAAAGACAGAGTCTTGTTAAGGGTTTAAGTCCCTTTTTATTCAACGTAATAAATTACAATTGCGTGCTCTTGACGCTTCACAAACTGTGCCAACTCGGCAGTCAAATAAAAATAATAACCTGAAAAGAAATTAAAGACAAGATTCTAACTACGAGGCTCTCTAAAATAACTAAACTCACCGCGTTTTACAATACCGCTGCTAATTCAGCAAACTTGAAGCTCACTGAACGATTAACACTACTTCCAGGCAAGCACACAGGCCGAAACGCGGGGTTCTTCAATTTCTCGCCAACTACCTCCGCGCTCGTGAAGTAAGAATATCACACCTCGAACTCGTATCCTTTCTATTTAAATCAGAATACTTCCGCTGATAATTTGAATCCTTGTGCGTTCTACTAAAATTTACATACTCTGGCATTGGCAGTTCCAGGGGAAAGTAAGGCTTGACAGGAAAGATAGTTTAAACTTAAAATAAATGTTAGTTAAAATAAATATAAACCCTACAACTTAAATATGCACGATAAGTTCAAGGAAAATAATCCAAAAATGTTGAATTATGCTGTCTCATTTGTACTGATATGAATAACCATGAAAATAAAGCTCCTTTTCGGGAATGAGTCCAAATTTGCATATATCAAGTACAATACCTTAAATTTAATTTTAAAAGCCTCAATGATTTTTATTTTAGGAAACTATAACACTTTTTGAACGGATAAAAAATCCTTTTCATTTTAATGCGCCACAGTTTCTTTGGAGTACTGTTGGCTAAAATCGTAAACTTAGCTTAGATATGTGGAATCTTTCATCTATTGTTGATACATTTTAGCTAATAATGTCAACGCTATATTAGATTCTTCAGCCTTAGGGTTTAGCTATCTTTAGAAAATAGTTTAAGGTTTCCTTTAAGTTCCTCTTATAACAGGGCTTTCTTATGTCTTCAAGATTTTTCTTAGAAATTTATTTGCCTGGAGTTTGAACTAAAAGACTGCTTTTACCATTAGATTATTTTTAATCTTGCAGAATCTTGATCTTAAATAATGCGATGATTTGTGTGTATGTAGAAACACAATGATTTCCTGCAACTCTTGATGGATGCTGCGGACGAAGAGATTCGAGAACCTGAAATTGCTTCAAACGCAGGTTTTAAATCATTAGAAGCAAACGAAGATGAAGATGATCAGTTTGGAAGTGTAACGAATAAGGATACATCCTATTCTCTAAAGTACACAAGTAAGCCACACAAATATTTCTTTTAACTGCGAAATCCTTGCAGGTTTATAATACCTGTCTGAGTTCCTTAATTTATCTTCTATGATGATTAACTTATGCTATACAATAATACTACTGTGTCGCTGTAAATGTCCATAAATATAAAATTTTATTCAATACTCAAAATTTCGGTGTAACATTTCATTTAATACAAACATATATTGACTAAATAGTAAATAACAGATTTCAGATTAAACATGACATAATTACAGAAGGTTTGCGTTGTGATAAGCTATAACCCAGTTTGATTTTGGGGTAGTCCAGTATACTATCAAAGAAAACAAACAGAATAAGTTAAATTAAATATCAAATATTTATTTAGTTAGGAATATGGAGTTACATAGATAGTTTCCGGTAAACTGGTGGCAGAACATGTATTTATTACTGAAAAGAAAAATCTGACATACCTTTCATATGATTTGGAATTATAGGCCCATTAAAAAAAAACTCTCAAAATACAACTAGAGAAGAAGTATGCTGCAAGATAACAATATTGCCATTAAAACCTTACAAACCGGAACATAATAATACGAGACATCAAACAAATCATAATTTTTTTCACAATACTTTATAGTAAATAGAAGAAACAATTATGTGACTATGATAAAATTACCATGATTTACTGAAACAAAATTGAAACTTTACTTTCCATTAACAAATATCAATTTGCTGTATAGTAAAAATTAAATTAAACCTGGAGTTAGAAGTTGGAAAGTCTGTGTTTTAGAAGAAAAGGAAAGTAGATGCAAGTTTATTATATCTTCTTTGTTCAAATAAGATGTTTCTTAAAAAATTGTTTTTAATATTAATTCTGAAAGCAATCAGCTATGAGTATATTTTGCATTTGTAATATAATTTTTAATAAACACATTTCAGATATATCTCAAGACGAACTCATAGCCCAGTGTGTGTTATTTTTCTTTGTTGGTTACGAAACCACAGCCTCGACCCTAACTTTCATGGCCTACTGTCTTGCTTCTAATCCCGACTGTCAAGAAAAACTCATTCAAGAAGTGGACGATGCCTTTAACAAATATGTGAGTTAAATTCATAATTTTTATTCTGTAATAAAAATAATAATAATTATAACGTAATGGATACGATTAATAAAACTTAAAAACCTCATAATCAACTGTTTACTGGGTTAATTTAAATAATTTAACTAAGTTAACATAAAACTCAATAGATTATGGCGTGTTGCTTTCCTTACTGTCAAAAGAAGCTTATTCAACAAACAATCGATGTCTTTCAGAAGTATGTAACATAAACTTATCGTTTGCTTCATTTAAAGAACTATTAATTGTAATATAAAAGGATTAGTCAATGAACCTTGAAATCAGTCAAACGGATAGTTCGTTAAGGTATTGCGGGGATGTATTTAAGTTACTTAATAGTTAATTATATTTCGAAGCAACCTTCTGTATCGCTCTTGTTTTCAACCCACGCTTTCTTGCCATAATATTAGCGCGGGTCAAAAGAGGTAAATAGAAATTAGTATTTAAGAAGAGGGTTTTAGAAGGTGATTTTAGAGCGTGTTCTGTCTGTCTGAAGGCTACGTTGCTATCATTAATTTACCAGCAATTCGATTTCTATGGCGTTGAGCGTTTCTAACCATTAGGCTTCTTTACGTCGACTTTTACGAGTCAGAGCCTGCCTGCACGTTACGTAACCTGTGAAAAGCTGTTAGACTCATGTAATTCTATTTTATTTTTAAGTTACTTGTTAACTTTTGAGTTAAGCCAAAAGTGTTGGCTTTTGTAAGCACAAGTCGGTGCCATCTGTGAATTTATCGAGTTTTAAAAGGGTTCTTTACAACTTTCTGTGGACTTGATCGTGCTTAAGGATAATTCTTACACAGTCTGTTAACGTCTACTTAGTTTATGCTTGTTAAGAATACGAGATGTTACGGTATAATTCATCGAAACTTCATTATTATTGCATTAGTAATGTTTTGCAAGTTTCATACTGAATTGCAAGTTTCATACTCATATATTATAATTTCAACTTAAGTTATTGATTAGTGCGATAAGGTAACAATAAAATAAATCACTTCATCTTGACATTCTATCATTTTGTATTACGAAATCTAACTTTTTTATTTATTTTCTTGGTCTCTATATTTATATTTAGGGAAATTTTATACTGATTACATAAAAAAATAAGATAAGAAAAAGCTTCGTGCTATCCTGCGAGGAAAATTGCCCGAGTTATTCCATTTTAAAGTTAGATATTATATTCAGGGGCTATATACAACTCAGCAAAATGTCTCCATTTGTACATAACTAAATTTCTAAAAAGGTTTCTGAGGTTAACAGATTATGTGCGGCGAGAATTTCTGTGCAGATTATCGGAAATGTATTGATAAATATAAAGTTTTACAAAAAGTGTATCTTATTTAGAGAATTCGTGTTTTAAAATTCTCTGGCAAGTTGATGTTGCTACGCAGTCAACTTGTGACATTATATGCATTAGTAAAAAATATTTCTTAAAAGAATTTTTATACGATTATTATATTATGGTTGTAAATAATTAAACCTTCGTAAGAATATAATAATTTGAATAACATAATAACATGTGAAATCTTATAAATTGCTTATGTAAAAATTCTTTCAGCATACAAGTCGTAAAACTATTATTAACTAAAGAATGTTACATCTTAGAAAATCAAAAAGAGAAATTGAAGGCATTTAAGAATGAAAGGCATTTAAGTAAGAAAAGTAGACCTGCATTACTCTGATTTATTTATTAATGGGATATTATGCCATGGAATATATGTTTTTAATGGCCGGGTGCTTTATTTAATAGCCATTAGCTTTGAGTCATTACAAGAGTCGAAAGTGGTAGCCATTTCATTGCGGAAGCACCTAGTAATAGGTAGACACTGTTGCCTCCGATGAAGGAACGTACAATTACAACCATGCTGTCTCCGGATTCGAGACCGGGTTCATCGCTACCGCAGTAACGGTTTTTAACCACCATACCGGCTGGGGTGTGTTATGGAATATTATCAAACGCGATATATAAAATTAAATCTCAAACATTGAAATTAAATATCTCAGTTAATTTTCGTCGTACGGGTTTCAAATATTTCGCATTTTTCTTTTTGTGACTTAAAATTAAATCTCAAACATTGAAATTAAATATCTCAGTTAATTTTCGTCGTACGGGTTTCAAATATTTCGCATTTTTCTTTTTGTGACTTAATTTAAAAGATTTCTAGATGATATACTTCCAGTCGCTCTGAGAACTGTCACATCTGAGAACACGAATACACTCTAGAAAGCACATGCATCAGCTAAAGCATTTAATTCCAGGTTTTCTAGTAGTTGCATTTTAGAAATTATGCAACGAAATATGAATATTAAGAATAAAATTTAAGCAGAACAAGGAGGCTCGAAGACAAAATACTTCTAAATCTTTATTTAAAGCTGTGAAAGTGCATGCATTTACGAATGTAGGCATACCAGTCAATAAATGTCGGCCATTTGATGGCTAATAGGAATGAATCCCTTTTTCGACATATAGGAGACTTGCAAACTGCAGGGAACTTATATTCATTCTCGTTCTTTCCGAGAAAAGCAGCAGGGAAATGTTAGTGCATTTCAGACATGAAAACGGAAGCACATATCATGGGATGTCTGCCTAACAAGAAATTGGCAGCAGACAAGTTGTTATAGCCCTGGCGATATTTTAACTAACTTTGGTGTACAGTATAAGCTTCAAAGTTCTGCTGAGAATATTATTATGCATATTCTTATTTTATCATTATTCTTATGATGCTAAACTAAGGACCATAATTCCATTACTCTGATGAAAACGAATCCTTACTTTCAGAGCTTCTAATTCTCCTAAATAATGAAAACAATAATATACTTAAATTCAGAGTTCCAAAACATTACTTCTGTAAAACGCAAAAGGAAATAACCAATCTCATTTTTCAAAATTTTACTTCTAACAGTATTTTTTTATAATATTTATCAAGTTTAAATGTTTTTTCTTCAAATGCTTTACCTTAATTAATTAATGTTTTATTGCACTTATTATACAGGGTGGTTTAAACCTATATGTGAAAAATGTAAAGGCATTTAAAGGAGACTTAAGGAAGCAGATTTCGTGTAGAAATGTGTGGTACGGTAATGTCGCGTTGAACCGGTAGCCTCAACGCGGCATTACCGTACACACACTCCTATACGAAATTTGCTTCCTTAGGTCTCCTCTACTAGCCTTTACATTTTTTTGACAGATAGGTTTAAACCACCTTGTATAATAAGGGCAATAAAACCATTCATTAATTAATTAGTGTTTTATTGCCCTTATTATACAGGGTGGTTTAAACCTATATAATGCCGGTAGACTGCCCACCAACGGCCGAGCGGTAAAGTCGCTGAACGCTGGTAGTTCGGTCCGAGGTTTGAATCTCGCGAACGGGCTGACTGCATGGGCGTTTTTGTGGTTTTCCCCATGTATAACGTGTATACGAGCCAGTTTCGCTTAGAAAGTCCTCCACGAAGGCATCCCTCCTTATGCAGATATACCTCGAGGCTTTGCCGTAACTAAAATACAAACAAACAATGAACCGGTAGACTACGCTGATGAGTGCGGTGTTAAAAGCGCTGCTCTAGCTGGATTCTTCATTTCCCACGTAGATCTCGAGTGACATACAGACGTTATACCAATGCAGAGCTTGCCGACATGCATTTCATGTATGAAGCTGCTCAAGAAAATGTATTAGCTGCTCAAAGGATGTACAGGGAGCGAGCGATTTCCAGATAGGAATCAGCGGATCATAGAACATTCGAGCGTCTTCACCATGCGTTAAGAACGAGTGAATCCTTTTATGCATCCAGGCGCGATACTGGCATTGGAAGATATCACAGAATTCGTACAGTGGAAGAAAGAATACTTAACACAGTAGGGGGTAATCCTTCATCAAGCTCGAGAACTGTAGAACGTGCGGTGGGTGTGAGCCACGCAACTGTTTTGAGGACTTTACATAAAGAGGGAATGCAACCATATCATTTACGGAGAGTGCAAGTAATGGCCCATGACGATTACATTCCACATCTCAACTTTGCCCGTTGGTGGACGAATATGGTTCCAGCACAATGAAGCCCCAACTCAATACAGCTGGAACATCAGGAATCACTTAGACAGTATCCAAGGCCATTACTGGATAGGACGGGGCGGACCAGTCCCTTGGCCACAGCGTTCTTCTGATTCAATATGCTTCAATTTCTTCTTTTGGGATCATATTAAAAGCCTTGTGTACGAGAGTTCCATCATATCCGCAGAAGATCTTGTTGCCCGCTTGTCTGTTGCTGCTGGATATGGATTCGACATGCCTGGCGTCTTTTCTAATGTAACTCGATCCATGCGCCCTCGCTATGAACCTTGCATCACTCTTGATGGCCGCTCTTTTGAGCACCTATTGTAAACTGTTATTTTTTCCTTTTGTGTTTACTTGCCTTTTCAGTTTCCTGTGATTCATACTGCTTTACTTGCTTGCGCTTTAATGCGGCATTACCGCACACACATTCCTATATGAAATCTGCTTATTCAGGTCCCCTCTACCTGCCTGTAAGTTTTTGACACATAGTTTTGAACCACCCTGTATATACCTTTTCCTACGAAGAACAATTTCGAAATTGCGGGTTTTGCGAGACTCCCCTAAACGGGCCTGGTCACCACTGCATGCACCTTGACTATTCGTACATGCCTGTTATACTGTCAGGCGCTGCGTACTTATCTCAGTATTCTTTCTACTAACTGCATCCTTCAATATTGCCCTAAAGTTGTAAAGTCATTAGGTTATTTTGAAGCAAGAGACGGAAAAAATGTGCATTGTCCTCCTTAGAACTCGAACCCTGGATCTCTGGAATACGCGTCGAGATGCTTCCAGTTACAACACGAAGGTTTGCAGAAAGGAAAGACAAAATACCTTATAAAATTATGATACGAGTTATCGCCCTCTACTTGAAACTAACTGTGAAAGCACAGAGTATCAGCAAGTAAAACTTTATTTTAAATTTCACGACTTGTACTAAATTAAAATATTACAAAGCAAAAGTAAGTCTTCTTGACTTTGCTGAAAGTACAATACACACAATCCTGGTACAGCTGGCTACAAGTATATCTATTTAAAGCCACAACACTCTGGGTCGGAAATTTAAAATATAAATTAAGAGTAACTTAACAACTGGACTACTATCTGGCAATATGTTTCACTAGTGCAGCGGCTTCCTGGTGTGAAGTGAACGCGAAGCTGCTATTCAGTCAGACATCTGTTTTCTACAAGCTGTACGGTTATGACTGTTTCGATCAATTTATACTACGCCGCTTCCCAATCAAATCCGCATATATCTCTGGACTGAGCGAGTACGTGACGAAAGGAGTTAAAGGAAAGATGAAAAAAAAAATGTTGACTTTTAGTTAAACTAAGACAAATTGTCACAAAATGAAAGTAGAATAGCTTGTGCCTCTTTTCTTATTTAATCTATAACAAAAAGCGAATAAAAATATTTCAAATTATTCTGAAATTTGAAATTTTCTAAGTGTGAAACCTACCTTAACACCAACGTATATCTTCGGTTATTTTGTTACATCAATTTTTCTGGTATAAAATGCGCGAAAAATTAGCACGGAAGTTCAATGTTTTGCACATACATTCTGAAGTAACTATTTCTGATAAAGGAGCCGTTAAATTATCTATAGATCAAATATTAACTTAGTATAATAATGTTTTATGAATTTTCAACAAAATTTTACTCACATGACGAAAATTAGCGAATGTTTATGCTTGAACTGCTTGTCACTGCTCCACGCAGAAATTAATTTCTTCTCAACTTCAATAGGTATTTGATTACGCTGTGCTGTTGAAGTTACGACAGTAAATATGGTATATACAGAGAATCCTCGAAGTATAGCAGGATGTAATACAACGTGGATTTGGTGGGCAAATGTTAAATGTCATGCTATTGGCAAAGCCAGCTCAGTAAGAAAGACGGATGTTCATTTATGTAAATTTTCGATATTTTATCTGTCTACTAGTAACTCATTTGTCCATCCTTTATTCATATAAGTTGCTATTTTATATTAAATGCACAAAATAGTCTGCTTCTTCGTGATTTAATTTAAATATATGTATAGTGAAGACGTACATGGTTAATTTCGATAAAATATTTAAGTATTGATGTAATCAATGATTGTTTTCTTGTAGGGTCACGTGGACCATGATATTACTCGGGATATGAAGTATTTAGACTGCGTTATATCCGAAACGTTACGAATGTATCCTATATTGTCAATGTGAGTAATCTTTTCGCTATAAGTATAGATTAATTTCTTGACCACTGTTTTTTCCGTTTATTATGAGAAGAATTGAAATAACGAAGTGGTTAACATTTTTACAAACAAAACTGAAAACTTTCGAAACAAAACTGAATATTATGATTATGCTGTTCTCGTGCACTCAATATGGGTAAACAGAATGAAAAACTTTCTTGATCACTTCAAAATGATACAATATTCATAAAAGATATACATATATACTTTAAGAACAAAGTAAAGCGTTTTTACGTTTTCATATTTAAGTATTTTCACGTTTTAAAAATTAAGAGTTAACCCGTTATAGAACATTAGTGTTTAAATGCAAAACAAATTATACCATTGACAACAACTACTTGTTGCTGATAAGCCATCGGAGTGGCACAAAAAAAAAAAAAAAAAAAAAAAAACATACCTGACGGGCGAGGTATTATTTACTTAAAGTTTTAGGAGTTGGATCCAGTGGGTGTGGATGCAAGTACTGTTTCTGGAAAAGAAAGTGAGCAAAAGCCAAGCGAAATTTTTTAAAGCTAAACATTAACATTGGACTTCACTTTATAAGGGGGTCGTTTTGGATAGGGTCATAGAAGAGTTCTTTATAGTGTAACAATTATTTATTAACAGGTTTAAGTGACACACGGACATTACATTTAACTTTAAGAAAATTACACAGCAAGAGTCTGATATAACCTATCAGGTTAAATACTTGGCTTTTACTGAGGTCGTTCTCTGGCTACTCACCACATGGCACCCTTGCTGTTACAGTTAGTGTAACTGTTTATGTTAGCAGCAGAGTTTATAGTAAAGGATTGGTTCTATATTTAATTTTAATAAATGTAATTGACTACTGTGTTAGCTGTAACCGTAATTAACCTAATTTGCTTTCCAGAAACCTCGAGGAAACAGAAATTATCAGAACCTTCTCGTGATCATAAAAAGCTTTAAAAAGCCGGAGAGAAACATCTCAGTTCAGTTGTTCACTTAGTTGTTGTTGACTGTAGCGAAATCGCGGTGAGATCGTATTAGCTTTTTCTTTGGATTGCGCTCTATTTAACCTTTTTCGTAATCTCTTCTCTACATATAATAAAAGAAAGAGTCTGTCTGTCTTTCCTTCGCGCTGCGCGTAAGCTAATAGACCCACGGGTACGAAATTTGGTACATAGGTGCATCTAGACAAGTGCCAGTGCACCTCGAAGCGATTTTTTCGAAATTCGAATTCGTTTTTTTTTTATTTTGTGTTTTGTCACGAAATCGCGTCATTTTGAGACATAATGGGCTATAGGAAAGCGAGGTTTTACTCTACACACTCCATTTTCACATCGTCATGAAGCGTAGGCACTTAGCTATTTTACGAACTTAAAATAAAATTTCGTGTTTCAATAAATCGATTAAATACGAATTTAATTAGCAAAGGGAGCTTAACACCTTTTCAACGGGATTTTTTCTAAAAAAGTTTATTTTTAAAAATGTACAGTTTATTTTTATTTGAATTTTGGACACGTTAAACTTTCATCCTTGCGATTGCTTTTACAAAAAGAATTTTGGAAAAATGATAATATTTTGTATTTTTAAAAATTTTTTTAATGAAACTTCTCGGTACACTTCTCACATCTCACATCTTTAAAAATGTGATTTATGCAAAAATTTTCCTGTATTATTGTTTGTTGATAGATTTTTGATGAAATCGCATCATTTTGAATAGTTTCATTCTTTTAGAAATATGGGTTTGGCAACAATTTTTCATCGTATTTCTTATGTCACTGTTTTAAAGAGATTGGCATATTTTATTGTCATTTATATATATATATGTATATATATAATACATTTTTATTGTTTTTTTTTTTTTTTTTTTTTGATAAAGTTGTTTTGGCAGAGTAAAATTCTGCAAGGAATTTTATGTTTTTTTTGAGATGCTTCCATGTTTTATTTTTTTTTATTCAACGGAAAGTTGGTTAATTTTTTTATTAGGATAATTAATTATTTGTATTAAGGGATATAGCTTATTTCATTGTAATTTTTTTCTCTTGAATATATAAGATAAAATATATTAATTATACTTTGCTTTTCAGAATTTTTTATTTTTTGTATTCTTCTATGTTATTTATTGCTCATTTCACTGTTTTTAAGATATTGAAAAGTTTTGAGTGATTTCTTTAGGAAACAAAGTTCTTAACCTCCTTTATACCATTTGAATTCTTAAGATTTTTCAAAGGAAAATTGGTTAATTAATTTACTAGGATAGCTAATATTTGTATTAAGGGATATTGCTTATTTCATTGTAATTTTGTTATACGTAATAACTTTTTTTATGAAGTTGTCCTGCAGAGTAAAATCCTACGCAGTTTTTTAATTTAACGTTTGCTGTTCCCTTCAGCCATTTTTCCGGTACATTTAAAAGCCAGACGAAGGCTGGCAGAGATGCTGCTAGTTTAAAATATAACTACTGCATGATATTGTGATATTGTAGGAATAATCTTTGAGGAAAAAATCCAGCGTTTTGTTATAGTTCTTGTGATAAGAATAAATTTGATTAACTTTTTACCGCACTCTATTATGAACCCGTAAGCAAGCAACAATATGAAATGCAATCTCAAACTGTTAAATTCAATAATCTTGAGAATCATGCTTTTAAAAAAATCTGATTGTCGTCTTAAAACAAAATGGTCTTTCTTTAAAGTATGTCGGTCATCTTATAATATAATGGTCTTTCTTTAAAATATGATAATCGTCTTATATTAAAGAATCATAGTTCTGACATCTTACACACGACTATTTTAACATATAACCCGATATATTTCCATTCAATATTATTTCCCCTTAAAAATAATATAAGGAGGAAGAGATCTTTCCTTTTAATTTTTTATGTAAAGTTTTATTTTATCACAAAACCACAAAAATAAAAGTATTTTGGTTTACATTTACTGTTAATTGAAAATCTCCCTACATTAGTTAATATTTAGCAATGCAAAAATTCTGTGTCAGTTTCGCTGAGCGCCTTGGTTACCTCCTAAGAAATTCGTGATAAAAAGAATTCGTTAGTCTAAGCAGTTAAGCATATTTTTATGTTTCAAGCTATTTGCAAAGCTTGAAATGACAAGAAAACTTAAGTTTTCGTATTAAAAAAAAAGAAGAGAGAAATATTATGAGCAGGAACTTTACACTACAGAAGAGTGACGTATTCAAACCGAAGATTTTCTGCCTATCTCTTTTAGGAGTATCTCCGTTCTGTAGAATCTCCGCTAGCTCAGTTTTAATTCAGTACCATCGCAAGCCTTCCAGGGTGATGACTAGCTTAGCAGTGATGGAAAGTGAACTATATTGCATGTATATTATCGGTCTATAAGGGCTGTATATTTCTTTCAAATAGTTTATTTTTTCACTTTTATGATTTTTGTAGGTATTTCTGGGAAAACGAAAACGATAAAAAAATGTATCCAGTTTTAACTAACGTCTGATTAAATGTATTCATTTTTAACATCGGAAAAAATGGATACATTAAGGGATTAATGTTAAAATATTACGTCACATTAATACATTAATTAGTTAAAAATTAATTACCACATTAATTAAAAATGAATACATTAAAAAGTGTATACATTTTTAACGAACGGTAACTAAATATATTTCGCTTTCCTAATTTACGATGAAGGTATATTTCTGTTAAGTAGGGCAAAATTTGCTCTCCTTCATGCTAAATTTAAATAGTATCGTTGAAATTTGTCTATACGAAACAATGACTGTAGCATTTTAAATGCCGTTATGAGACTGATATTTGAATTTTAACCTTACCGACACTAAACTACCAGGTCAAAACTTCAATCCTGATTTCGTATACGTTTTTAGTTCAATCAAAAATATTTCAAAAGTTAGTTTTAGTATTCTTTACTTTAAACGTATTAATTGACTTCTAACTTCAGTTGTTTTTTATATATTTTAAACTGACTTTTTTCTCAGAAGTAAAAAACGCTTACTAAATGAATTGAAATTTACAGGACAGAGAGGACAGCTTTAACTGATTACAAACTAGGAAATAGAGGAATAACTATTGAAAAAGGTATAAGGGTAGCATTCCTTGTATATGCCATGCATTACGATCCAGAATTTTTTCCTGAACCCGAAAAGTTTCTTCCTGAAAGATGGTAAAATTTATATTTTAAAAATATATTCTTTATTTTATTTTTCTGTGCCTTTCAGTATTTTTCAGTCAGTTCTGCAATGTCGAGGAGTGGTAGATAATGTCATTATAGTAAGAAAACGGTTTTTAGTTTTTGAAAATAAAGCTTTACTGCGGGAATATTTTAATAGAAAGTTTTAGAAGTCATATTCGCTGAATAAAATGTGTTTCGAAGGCAATGAACTAGACCGTTGCTTGATTATCTGGGCTAAATCTACTTATAATCTTTTTCATTGGAGGTATATACAGGGCTTAACCGAAAAAGATGGTAATTACTAGAAACAAAAGGGGAGTTTCTAATAGAAACACATAACTTTGTAAGCTCTATGTACCCCTGAAAAGCAAATGTATGGAAACATTTCAGTATGAAAGAAATTAGTTCATTCTTTCCAAGCAACAAAGAATTCATTAATATTTTTTTATTGCCGAACCAGGAAACAAAAACTTTTGACACTTCAGTTTAATATGTATGACGTCATAATTATTTAAATTTAATGTAATATAACAACATTTTCCCATGGTTAATAAAACAATTAACGTGGCAATAATTTATCGTGTCATTATACTAACCTGAAACTAAAATGTTGCCAACAACAGATATTTATTTAAACTGCTCACATTAACGAACAATTTTCAACATACAGTGGCATCACATACGTCACATACATGACGTGCTTTTTCAGCGTCAGAATATGACCTTATATAACAATACATTTTTTAATATTTGGCAATGATAATTTTATTTCATATTTTGTAAAACTTAGAAAACTTTTGTTAACAAACTCTAAGATTTGAAAGCAAGCAGTGACAAGACTTCTCGAAATAAAACAGATTTTTTATCTCCAGCGTGTGAGACATATCTAGGTGTGTTCTATGACGAACAACTATTGTTTAAAGAACAAATCTATGAATGCATTACGAAAAGCTAATGCAGGGGTCAGCAACTGTGGAACGAGATGTCTCAGGACACCATACGGATCTTGTATGCCTCAATGCCCGCTCGTATCGCATCGTGCATTCGCACTAGAGGTGATACAACAGAGTATTGAAACTTCCATTCATGTGTACTTTTTTTCTGCAATAAATGATCCTTTTTTCTTCGATTTTCTAATCACTTACTTATATCAAAGTAGTACTTACATATGTAAAATTTCGTTTCAATCTGACAACTCTTTTTTGGTGCTCAAGTTTTTATGGCAATTAGTGTATATATGCATGTGTGTGTAAAAATCGCATAAATACTTATTTTCTATATATACTTATAACTGCTTTATTTTTGTCTCTTTATTTGTTTACAAAACTCTTATATGTGTAAAATCGTTATAGTAAGTACATTCTAAATAACAGTGAAACATTTTTTCATCTTCACTGTATAACTTTAATACTACTTTCGATCATTGAACATTAATTAATTTTTAGTTTCTATTTTGATCACATTAACCGTAAAAACTGCAGAATTACAATATGCACTTTTGAATGAAAACGGGAATTTTTCCTTCTTCTGGGGGAGATTTTTTTGAAGATTCCTTGTAAATCTGGGGAATAAGTAAATACCACTTAATGCCAGCATTACAGAAACTACTTAGTGGAAATGTCTTTTAAGATTTAGCAGCCACTAAAGTAATCTTTCAAAACTGGCATCCCTGCATATATATATATATATATATTGTTAATTTATGTTTTTTATACTTCCTTTTCGTGTATTTTTTCTTGTTCTTCTTTCTACATGCATAATCATTTCTGTAATTATCTATGTTTTTAAGGAAAAGAAAATAAGGGCGAATTTTATACATCTTTTAAACAACTTTCATTTTATGAATTTCAATCGCGTATATTTGAGAATGTTTCGCTTATGTTCTATCTGAGTTTTAATAATCGTATAAAACTAAATTCTCTTAAACACAATATATTGAATTTTAGCATTTCTACAAATAATAATTAAGAACTAATGCTCTTAAACTGATCTTTATCTGGATGAAAATTATTTTTCAATCATTTGCATGGAAAAATCAAACAAGCTTTTGTTTTTAATAAGTTTTCTGTATGTTCTCAAATGTTTTATGAAATATATTATTACGATCTTCAGATAAAGGCTTTTATGTCTTTGAATGCTTTTCTGTATAAAATAGTCGACGTTTTGCTATGATTTTATTATGGCGCGCGCTGACGTAAAAATATAAAAGCATTTACTTTTTCAAAAAATTTCGAAGTAATCATATTTATTGCTGTCTGAAAAATTAATTAATTTATTTCATTTCTTAAATTATAGAAACTTCGAGAGATATTTAATTATGTAGTCTCTTTGAACGCTTTATGTAACTTTACACCGCATTATTTTCCTCGCTTAATGATAGGCAAATATCACAATCACTTCTCATGTAGTTCCCAAATATTAAACATTAAAAATCATAGCATATTAATTACATTATACTTACTTCTGCATTTAACTTCCAGGGTTAAAGATAGTTCAGGTAAACTAAGTCATCCTGATTACGCCTACTTACCGTTCGGTGCGGGGCCTCGGAACTGCTTGGGTATGCGTTTTGCATTGATGGAAATAAAGATGGGCATGGCAAATTTTCTACGACACTACAGATTTAGAAAAGCAAAAACTCTCAAGGTAATTGAAATAAATTATGTGAATAAATACATATTTATATTTATTTAAAACAATTTTGAAATTTCAAGTGTAATGTGTTATGTAATATGCTGCCTGTGCAATATTTTAATTCTGTTATTAACCAGCAAAATTCTGAAAAGCATTTTTGGTCTTCTATGTATGCACCCTAGTTATGTTCTTGGCCTCGGTTTTTACTCCTTTTGCCTTCGCAAGATGATTTTGATGAGTTGATTTTTCTTCGCGACAGATAGTTGCTGTCTTGTTGATTCCAGATTTTTTTAACAACCATCAGAAATAATTTAATCAACGAAAATAATAATTTATCAATAAAGAACAAACGAAAATTATAATACACAAATTATGAAACTACACTTGCGTCCCTGCTTGATATGCTTACATGCAAACGAAATCCAGTTCTCTCACTGTCTTATCTAATTCTCTTTTCAGAGTTTTTCTGTCTGAAGATCATTTTCAAATTGTCCCGATTCGCGTGGTGTTGTTTGACTAAAGTTTGCGTGCACTTAGCCTGAATGTACAAAAATAGCACAAAAGTTGTAGAGAAATTAGGTACTTTTTGGAAGTAATAGAAGTGAAAAATGAGCAACGCCTACGCCGGGAATCGAACCACGAACCTCAGGAATATGTGCCCAGCGTGCTGATCACTACACTACGAAAGCCTGCTAAGAAGGCGTGAGAAATACCTTACAAATTAATTGACTTAAATTTAAAAACTAACCTTGGCCGAAAAACGTACCACTTAAGAGGTTGCTCGGCGGGAGAGACGATGCTAAAAAAAGAGGGCGGTAGCATAACCAATAGCCGCAACCTCAGAAATAATAGAAATGAAATATATATATGATATATGAAAACGGCAATACTGGCAAAATAATTATGAATATGAATAAAAAATTCTCGTAGAGGTTTCCTGTCCGAAAATATTAATAGCACGGTCCACATCAAACAATATCTATTTTCAGTCTGCACTTGAGCAAGAATATCCAGAAGTTTAAACTTTTCACTGTGAATTGTTTTCATTTAATCTCATATGAATATGAAAAGGAAAAACTTATAGATATAATTAATATGTATCATTAATAGACAAATTATAGATATATTATAAAGGATATAATTCATTTTACGAGACAGCCAAAGAGGGGCTCGTTTCATCCAATCGACTGTCCTGTGAAATGAATGTTTAATACATCTTATAATAGAAGTACTAAAAAATGTGTCTATGACCCATCCTAGTGATTTATGAGGAATTAGAATTTTCTTGGACGTTTCATTTAAAGAAATAAGAAAATTATTTGTAAATATGGGATAAAGTTCGCAGTTCTTTATTTTTTCTGTTGGCGTATTCCCGATTTACCGTATTTATAGAACTTGAACAAAGAGAACATTAAAGCAAGACCTTTGTTGATATTTATTTCTGGAGTGAAAGTGGCAGAGAAAAATATAGAAAAATAGTGACAAAAGAAATGTAGAAAAACAGGTGACGAAAAAAATCTCTACAAATGTTTTTGTCTTGTGTAGTGTGGCGCACAAATAGTTCCATCATGTTCCAAGCGAAATGATTAAAAAAAAATTGTAAAAAAGTTTTAAAAACACATGAGTGATTATTTCGGTTTGCTCGGTGGACAATCTAACACAGTTTTCCACACATCTGTTATCCCTTCCATGGTCACTTGTTTTGCTTATTTCTGGTATTTGTTCTTCTCGACTAACCAAGTTTTACCGAAAATTTTCTTCCAAGTTAGCAAATGTCACCAAAAAAGGTTCAGGTTATCAGGTTCAGTGTTCCGCCTTACTTGCTTTGGGAACATGCAAAGACCTGACTCGGAACAGGGAGCTTACTAAAGCTATGTTCAATAAATGTGGGAAGTAGACAAGATACACAGGAAGGGTATAAAACCCTTTATTTTTTCACTCTTTACATTACAATAATTCCGGACTTCGGAATACAGAGACCAACCACTTGTGGTCTGAACGTAAAATAAATAAAATATTAACTAAACTCTAACTTAACTTTGGAATAATAAACAAGGGCTTACGTGGAAGATTGGCCGTATATTAACAGGAAGCCGTATGTAGTACAGAGAACTGTTAACACTACAATACGTTTAAAATTATCAGAGGATTAAACTCTGGCCTGGAAGGCAACCAGCAACCGAGTAAAACTGCTAAGGCAAGCGGCCTGCTTCTACTAACTCCTTCCTCTCTCTTGCTTGGCAAAAAGCCACAACTTAAGTACTTGGTGTTCGCCAGACAAATTTGCATAAATAAGTTAAAGCTTTTAATTCTGGCCGGAAGTAGAAAATAAGAAGTGCTAGTAAAGATTTAAAATAAAATAAACGTTAGTAAAACTTAAGATCCTTACAAGGTGATCCAAACTCATATGCCACCTGATTTTTATTTTCGCATAATTATTGGTAACCAAGTAAACGTGAACGTATTGTACACGCGCCTTCAGAATTAACTAGTAAGTTGCCGTCTTACTATGTCATTAACTGGGCAGCAAAAGAAAATGTTCTGGCTGGAAAATCATTGTAACCAGTTTTATAAGAACAGTACTTTATATTAATTAATTTTTTTAGCCCAAAGGGCGTTAGCCCAAAATTGCTATTAATTTCGTTTTCGCATTTTGCGTTGATTCATTATAAACGACAAATCACATTTTAAATTGTTTCCGCCAAATATTAGAGCCCTGTATTATATATAAATAAATTAAATAATGAATAATCTGCATAAAAGTATGTATGTTTTTCGCATTGTGATAGAACAACGGTACCTACAACCATTAATTTTGAATAACGTACGTCTCCACACGAATATGGGCATCTGAAAGCCCAAATTTGGAATTTTGGAATTTCTTTTGATATCTATTTCATATTTTGTAAAACATTTATGCGTTTTTGATTGAGAAACTCAACGATTTCAAAGCGAGCAATGGCAACACTATGCGAAGGGGACGTTTTTTCGCTAGCAAGACTATTCTAAAGATATGCTCTATTAAATATTTTAAGATATTGCTGTTGAATTGAAATTTATGATTTAAGTGAAAACAACATATTTAATAAATAAAGGTAACACACAAAACTTTAAAAAAACGCCCTGGCGAAAATACTTTGATACATATCAGTACAAATGGGAAACTACTCCCTTTTGCTCTTTTCTAATTAAAACACAAATTTCATTTGAGAAACAAAATGCAATTTTTTTTTTCAAATTTTAGTTTCAAATACCTCAAAAAATATGAGAGAGTATGAGCAAATGTTTAAATGTTTTAAAGTGTCATAGATTTGCAGTTTATATTGCATTTAAAGATTTTAAAAAGAAGGTTTAGGAATCTGTGGTTTATATTTGACCTTTATGATCTGTGGTTTATATTTGACATCAATTTATTGAGACGAAAACAAATGAAAATAGCTTCAATGTTATTCCAACAAAAAAGATGAACTTACTAAATTTTTCTAGTTAAACAGATTTGATAGGTGGTGAAAAATAATTTTTTTGTATTTGGAATTTTTTGTACAAACATTTCATTGATGGCAAATATTGATATATACATATAGTTCGGCTTATCAAAATTCGAGTAGTCGAATTTTTACACATTTTGAAAACTAAAAATTTAGAAAGTCCCTCTTTCGTTCGTACTCATCCACCTAGATATAAATCTCACTGAATTTACGCATGTTTGCTAGTACTTATGATTTCGTTATACTTTGTTAGACAGCATTCTAATTGAAGCTATGCTTTATTATTCTAAAACTGTTGGCCCATTGTTTCGGATTGGAATAAATTTTAATTTTGGTTTTTCCTAAACATTTGAAAATAGATGTCTTCTTACACTTCTGTAAAATAGTCTTTCGATGAATTAATATTGCGTTTAAAGAATGTCATAAAAATATCTAATTAAGGAAAAATGTACTTATGGCTTTAGATTTCTTTAATAATCGGACATTTGTTGTCCCAGCTTTTATGATAAAATTGGTTACAACTAAATTTATCGATATTTCTCCTAATTAACAACGAAATTTTAAAACTATTTATAATGTGATTTTTTTCTCTTTAGGAACCTCTAGAATATACTCCAGGCTTTGGATTGTTAAGCGTTAAAGAGCTTCCGTTATTGATAGAGAAGAGAATAGAAATCAACACTCCGACAGCAAGCTAACATTAAGTTAGTGACTTTGTGAAGAAGCCTCAATATGTAAACCTTCAGATATTATTTTTATTACATAGTAATTTAAAATTTCGAATGTTATATTAAAAATTGCATATATGATGTACTTTCTTACATATTTTAGATTTTAATAAAGGAAAGAAAATACTTACTTTAGTTTGTGATTTAAAATTTTACTTTATAACAGCTCTCCCATTTTCGAAAGAATACTTTAAAATTATATAATGCTTCTTAACTTACTTTTCAAGACAAAATTTCATTCTGCGAAGTTGAGCATTCATTGTGTAAGCAAAGGATATTTAACTACAGATCTTCGTGCTCTATATTACTCCGTACAGGTATTTTATTTAATTTATAATAAAACAATAAGAATGTTTCTTAAAGTGTTATGTTTAAAGTATGCCTTTCATAATTCATTTATTCAAGCAGATTGTAAAATAATAAACAATTATCTTTAATTTAAAGAACGAAGAGTTATAAAAGAGTTATAATACGAACACAAATTATTTTAATTTTTTATACTTTTAATTTTTCCCCTTCTGGGGGAAATCTTAGAATGTTAAAAGCCTGACATCACTGTTCATGTTATTCTATTTATATTGCTTGAAACAAAGTATTATTTATCTGTACCTCATATTCTTTCTGCAATCTACTTTGAAAAATTAAAAGTTATATCCACCAATATCAATGGAAGCTTTATAACGAATATGGAGGTATAAGCAAAAAATATTGTAAAATAAAAGAAACTTCTGGTAAGAAGTTGCTGTTTAAGTTATGCAAATTAAACCAATTTAATCGTATAAAATAAAAAGGCGGGAAGAGTCGATTATGTCATTGTTTTCAACTCCTTAACGTGAATAACCTTATCTTTTGAATTTGTGCATGAGCCCTAACATGTGAGCAATTATCTTGAGCTTATTTCTAATTTGGCCAAGAAAAGTTTATTCTACAATGACATTTTCTACATTAATATTTTTTTTCTGCGCAACTGAACGTAACCAAATTTGATGTAGATATAAAACTTTGTTATTTCACTCATTTTTAAACTATATCTATGAGCCTACGGTCAAACATTCCAGAGATATTTAGTTATGATATTATGCTGAAGTACACAGATTTCTAAAAGATAACATTTACGTCAAAATTATCATTCCGGGACTGCTAAAACACGAAATTTTAAGCTTTAGGACATTCAAGTTAAGGAGTTTCTGATTATTTTAACGTTTTTCGCCTTTTCTTTGCGATAAATACCTTTTAAAAATTTTCTTCACTCGTGAACTTCTAAGTAATGACATAATTATTAAATACTAATAATAATTTATACTAATACATTTAAATATCCCACCAATATCTAAAAAAATTATTCTGAAAAATTAAAGTGATGATTTTTTATTATATTTATATTTTGTTGCTAATTTGAATCCTTCTTTGATTTCTCAAATTAATTTTTTATCTTTATAATTTTCTGGACAATATTACTTTCTTTCTCTTTGAATGTTTGTAAGAGTAAATTTAGACTATGCCAACATCTGCTGCTTTACTTTAACTTCATTTAAATTGAATTCTCTAAAACTGAGAAAATGTATTTGACTTTTTTTTCACAATGTTTTCAAGTGAACAGGAAATCTAATTCTGGGACATTTCCAGTCCGGAAAATCTTTTAGCCAAATATCCGAAACTATTGGCTATTTTAAAAGCAGATCTCATCGTTTATGGAGCAAGTAAGTAATTTTTTATCTTAATGTATTCAACAATCTCTAGCATGAGATTTAACTCTTTTTTATGTTGTTTTACCTAAGTGAACATAACAGCTGGTTGCTTTGCCTAATATATGTGTTATCGGCAAAGTATGAAACGCCGATATTCTATAGAATGCCTAGGCATTGTATATAATGCTGGACGTTTTTAGGCAGAGTATGAAATATGAGAATTAAGACAAGCTTTCCCTAAACAGTCTATAGAATGACAAATGTTATTAGGCAAAGTATGAAAAAAGCTCCTGATAAGGCTATTATATGTTACTGGCAAAGTATGAAATGCCGGGATTCTATAGAATATACGAGGGTTGGGGCAAACGTCATGGCAACTGTTTTTTTCTTGTAGATATGTGAACGGATCACAAAACATATATGTGTCATGTGGAAGTTCTGCAGCCATAGTGTGTATGCAGAACAACAGATAGCTCTGTGATAGCTGTGTGGTAGCGAGGGCTCTGAGATCAGTCAGTTGGTGAGTGTCGTGCGAGATGGAAATAACTAATGTTGAGCAGCGCGCTTACATCAAAATAGCCGTTCTCCGAGGGAGAAATGCGATGGAATGTTACAGTGAATTAGTAGAAGCCCTTGGGAATAATGCCCTACCATATCGTACAGTAACACGGTGGGTAAGAAGGTTTCAGCAAGGACGTGTGTCAATCAATGATGAGCAACGTTCGGGACGACCGGTGAGTGTGCCGTCATCGAGCACCTCATGGACGAAGACAGACGATGGACGTTACTGGAGTTAGCGAGGGCAAGTGCCACCGAGAAACGCGCCGTCCACAGGATATTGAGTAATGAACTACAGCTACGCAAAATCGCTTCGCGGTGGGTACCGCATGCACTGATGGAAAGTTCAAAGGTGGGTGCGCTAGGCAATATACGCTCCGACCACTTTGCACGCTGGCTAACAGGACGGCGATCAAGTTCTTTTCACGAATAATCGCCATCGATGAATTTTGGGCCAGGAGCATACGAACCAGAACTGAAATGTCGGTCCGCGGAAGTGGTACCATCCTAGATCAGCCAAGGCAGGAGAAGGTCCGTCAGAATCCTTTCCCAGTCAAATTGATGGTGATCGTCGCGTATGACGTCAGGTGTGTCATTGTTTGCCACTTTGTTCCTCATGGCAGAACAGTGACCGCATGGTACTACAGGGACTCATGTCAACTTTATGTGTATTGTATTATCATTCTTTTGCACGGTGAAGGCCATATTTCCCTGTATACTACCGTAATAAATTCGTGTGCTGCGATCAGTGCTACTCATTGTCCACACATGTAGTTAAGACTTTATCCTTTCATCTGTATATGTCACATTTTCCAACCGGACTGGTATCTTCAAGAAAAAAAATAGCTGCATGACTTTTGCCCCAACCTACGTAAAATATGGCAATGTATTGCGCGAATCAGCTTGTCCTTGTCGACGTCAGGAATAGGAACTCACACAGTAGTTTCAAAAGAAGAAGTGTAAAATTGTTTTTCCGAATTCATTTTCATTTTTTTGGCTTATATTTCAAGATTGATTTTGGAATTTATTTTACCTTCAATAGTATTTTCAGTTTTGAAACAAATGGTATTCTAAATATCCATTTTATCATCTTTATTATCATGGCCACAGAAGGTATGAATTTTTTGTCGACATTTTTTGCATGCAAGCGCATCACTCGTTTCTTTTAAACACACATAAAAGCTATCAGAAACGGAATGTGTGAAATATTGAATGAATTGGAATACACATTACATTCGAAACGAATCGGAGATGTATTTCATACTTTGCCGTTTTCTCATGCAGCATTCTAGAATGCCTAAAAAATGTGTGTAATATGAATCGTTATATACATTGCAGGCTAGTTTTAGGCATTATATACAAAGCCTAAGCATTCTATCTAATGATGGATTTCAGGCTTTGCCAGTAACATATTCATTTTAACCCATGCACGAAGGCCTGCTTTCCTAGTAAGCATATCAGGACTAGTGTTTCTTTTGACTTGCTTTGGAAACATGAATGGTCCTGAATAGGAACAGGGAGCTTACTCAAGCTATGTTCAGGAATGTGTGAAGTAGACAATACAAGCAGGAGGGGTATACGAAACCCTTTATTTTCTATACTTTACAGGAATTTCTGAAACTTCGGAATACAGAGACCAACCACTTGTGGTCTGAACATGTTATTTCTTATTCTTACGTTAACCAACTCTAACTAATACCAACTCTAACTAATACTCTAACTAATTAATAACCAACTCTAACTAAAACTAACTTTGAATTAGTATACAAGTGCCTAGCACTAAGATTGGCCTTTATTTAAAGAAAGGTACGTATGTAGTAAGCCGAGCTGCTAGAACTACGATACGTCTGCAATTATCAAGAGGGCTAAACGTCTGGCCTTGAACGCAACCAGCAACAGAGTGAAAACTAATAAAAGTACAGTGGCAAGCGGCTTGCTTCCAATAACTCCTTCCTCTCTCTTGCTTGGCAAAAAGCCACAACTTAAGCACTTGGCGTTAATTTACATTTACTGTTTATTAAAAATCTCCATACATTAGTTAATATTTAACAATGCAAATATTCTGTGTCAGTTTCGCTGAGCGCCTTGGTTACCTGCTAAGAAATTCATGATAAAAAGAATTCGTTATCTAAGCAGTTAAGCATATTTTTATATTTCAAGCTATTTGCAAAGCTTGAAATGACGCGTAACCTTAAGTTTTCGTATTAAAAAAAAAGAAGAGAGAAATATTATGAGCAAGGACTTTACACTGCAGAAGAGTGACGTATTCAAACCGAAGATTTTCTGCCTATCTCTTTTATGAGTATCTCCGTTCTGTAGAATATCCGTCTAGCTTAGTTTTAATTCAGTATCATCGCAAGCCTTCCAAGGTGATGACTAGCTTAGCAGTGATGGAAGGTGAACTATATTGCATGTATATTATCGGTCTATAAGGGCTGTATATTTCTTTCAAATAGTTTATTTTTTCACTTTTATGATTTTTGTAGGTATTTCTGGGAAAACGAAAACGATAAAAAAATGTATCCACTTTTAACTAACGTCTGACTAAATGTATTCAGTTTTAACACCGGAAAAAATGGATACATTAAGGGATTAATGTTACAATGTTACGCCACATTAATACATTAATGGGTTAATGTTAAAAATGGATACATTAAAAAGTGTATACATTTTTAACGAACTAAATATATTTCGTTAAAAATGTATACAAATTAATTAATTTAATTTTTAACTAAATATATTTCGCTTTCCTAATTTTTGTCTATACGAAACAATGACTGTAGCATTTTAAATGCCGTCATGAAATTGATATTTGAATTTTAACCTTACCGATACTACACTACCAGGCCAAAACTTCAATCCTGATTTCGTATACGTTTTTAGTTCAATCAAAAATATTTCAAAAGTCAGTTTTAGTATTCTTTACTTTAAACGTATTAATTGATTTCTACGTTCAGTTGTTTTTTATATATTTTAAACTGACTTTTTTATCAGAAGTAAAAAAAGCTTACTAAATGAATTGAAATTTACAGGACAGAGAGGACAGCTTTAACTGATTACAAACTAGAAAATACAGGAATAACTATTGAAAAAGGTATAAGGGTAGCATTCCTTGTATATGCATGCATTACGATCCAGAATTTTTTCCTGAACCCGAAAAGTTTCTTCCTGAAAGATGGTAAAATTTATATTTTAAAAATATATTCTTTATTTTATTTTTCTGTGCCTTTCAATATTTTTCCGTGAGTTCTGCAATGACGAGGAGTGATAGATAATGTCATTATAGTAAGAAAACCATTTTTAGTTTTCCTAGTAAGTATATCAGGACTAGAGTTTCTTTTGACTTGCTTTTAAAACATGAATGGTCCTGAATAGGAATAGGAAGCTTACTCAAGCTATGTTCAGGAATGTTTGAAGTAGACAATACAAGCAGGAAGGGTATAGAAACACTTTATTTTCTATACTTTACAGGAATTTCCGAAACTTCGGAATACAGAGACCAACCACTTGTGGTCTGAACGTAAGAATATAAAAACTACTACCAAAAACTCTAACTAAAACTAACTTTGAATTAGTATACTAAGATTGGCCTTTATTTAAAGAAAGGTACGTATGTAGTACGCCGAGCTGCTAAAACTACGATACGTCTGTAATTATCAAGAGGGCTAAACCTCTGGCCTTGAAGGCAACCAGCAACAGAGTGAAATCTCGTAAAAGTACAGTGGCAAGCGACTTGCTTCCAATAACTCCTTCCTCTCTCTTGCTTGGCAAAAAGCCACAACTTAATACTTGGCGTTAGCAAGACAATTTGCATAAATAAGTTAAAGCGTTTAATTCTGGCCGGAAGTAGAAAATAAGAAGTGATAGTACAGTTTTAAAATAAAATAAACGTTACTAAAACTTAGGATCCTTACAAGCAGAAAATAAAAGCTTAATACGTATTATTCTTTCTCTGATCCATTGAAGCACCAGTAAATTAATAAACAGAAGAAAACAATATCAAACAAAATGATAATAATATCTGAAAGGGTTCAAATTTTAACGATCACCCAGAAGGACTCTTTTAAAGTTTAATATGATTTATAGGTAGAGAATATCGATACAGATGGCAAAAGAGGAATAGAGAAACATTTTATAGTATATTAGATGAACAGGCATTTATACTAATATGAGAATGCTATATATCTTCTGTATATTAAAAAAGATATATCATGAATTAATGCTTCTTTATTTAAATCAATAGGATTAGAAAACAAAAAAAAAGTAAGAAGAGCTGTATCTGTTGCTTTTAAATGCATCTGTTGCTTTTGAATAGTTTAATTTGTTAATTAATGAAAAGAGATTAAGTATGAATGAATAATACTTTTTCGAAATGGCAAAAGACTCGAATAAAATTGAAACAACGCAAAATCGCATTTCGAAAATAATAGCTCTGCCATCTTTCAATCTTAGTTGTTAATAATCGTTCAATCTTATTTTTTATTAGCTCTTTTGGGCTAAGTAAAAAGTAAAATTGAACGATTTAACATTTGCTATTGCAGTACTTTATATTTACTACAGCATAATGCATACTTAAAAACATTTCTATGTAGAAATCCTTTTAAGATTGCTTTATGTAGGCATATACTTATATAAATTAAATTATTTGTCTTTTTAATTGTTAAATTAGTCAACTTACTATAAACATGAAGAAGCCGTCATCGATACTTAAATTTTGCAAGAATGATAGCGATAATTACTATTTACGATAAATTAAGAAATTTGTACAACCAAATATGATCTGTCATAAAATAAAATTACTAATAATCTCTTTGCAGTTTTAATTAATTTATTAGTTAACAATTTATTAATAATTAATTAATTAATAATTAATTTATTTATTAACATATTAGTTAATTAATTAATTAAACATTTGAAAAAGCAAAATTGTAAAAAAAAAAAAAAATATTTTTTTAAATAAATAAGATCGAATGATGAGGAACAATGAATCGTGAATTGCAATGTAATAAAAATGTGTTAATAGAGAAACAAATCATATCAATTTATTTTATTAAAAATATCATGAAGAGAATAAGAAGATAGAAATAGTAGAAGTATTCTAACTCCTTTTAGTAATTTATGAACTGAAATTATACTTATGAATGATAAGTAAATTAAATTTGCTTTATCATATAATTCATTTAAGAGCTTTATTGTACAAAGTAAAATTTAAATGTTGTTATTTCAAAACGTTAGATACTGAAATCCGTGTAACAGTGGCTAGCAGCAATTAAATACAGCAAAACTATTCAAAGAACTAAGATTCGTTATTACACGTGCATACCCTGACAGCACAGCATGTCTCCAAAAATAGTTAGTAAAAATATAAAGTAGTTACATACATAACATACATAAACAAATAATATTTAAATCTGTACTATTTTAGAAATCCAAGCTTTACTTTTTATTCAAAAGTTTGACGTTTGATTTTTAAACTTATCAAAATTAAAATTTTCAAAAATTTCTTCTATCATCTTTTCCAAAAATCTCGTCGCATTAGCTCATTATTATCAGATAATTTTAAAATACAATGTGATAATATTCTATTCAAATTTTATAGTATAAAATGGAAAATAGGAAAACGTTCTTGTAATTAAAATATAAGAAGTTTAAAAACTAAAAAAACTGTAATTTTAGTTGTTAAAGGAAATATTTTTTTAATTTCGCTTTAAAACTAAATATAATTCTTTGTAAATTTAAAAATATAAGTATTTATCATACAGATAGTAAAAACCCCTTGTCTATCTTCTAAAGTGGCAACTGAAATAAGTATAGAAACTGCACAGGAGAAAGGTTCAAAGAACCCTTATTAAACTCTTTAAAATTCACAATGCGTCGACTTGACACTAACACACTACGCCTCACTCGGGCGGTAACTCAAATAACAAGAACTAAAGTAAAAGTTCGAAGATATTTACAAGTAGTAATTACTTTACAGGGCTCAGATAATCCTGTTTCTTTAAACCGCATTACTGTTATGCCACGTAAACCACCAATTAATGCACAAATAGAAGCTGATGCTACAGAGCTGATGGTGACTGCCCAAACTCTCTCTTTCCCTTCTAGAACTAAACCTTTTCTCGCAAAGGTAGAATTTGCATTACTTCAAGTCCGCTACCAAATTTAAATATTCTGGCATTGACAATTAGGGGGACGAAGGCTTACAATAAGGAGAATTATGGAAAGAACGTAAAATTAACTTGTTAGTTAAAAAAAATATAAATCCCTACAAGCTTACATTCGTTTTTGAAAATTTCGACATCACGTAATTTTAATTGTTCACAAACTTAAATATTATGACTATTTGAAATGATTATTAAAAAAAAGGATTATTCAAAGTAAAACGAATCACATTTTTATTTCATAATTTATCACCTCTCAAAAGTGTTTTTACAAGTTCAAAACGTGAGGGCTATATTCGCATAGAATATCATTTATTTATAATTGTTAGACTACCTAAAAGACGAAATGTGTCATTTTGACGCTTAAATTTAGATATCAGAGCCAAAGGATTCACACATAGAAAGAAAGGGAGTGGCCGACACAGAGAAGTCGACTTATTCGAGGACTCATTCTAAGGACAGTTCAACAGGCCCCATCGGTTACAGCAAAGAAACTAGTTACTGATCTGATGTTATCAGTTAGTTGTACAACTATACATTAAATTTACTTAAACGGACTGCGCTTTATATAGCTTTGCATTAACTGAAAGATATAACAGCTGCCAATTATTTTATCTAGAATATTACTTATTGTAAAGTTAAACTTTTAAATAATTAATTATGAGTTAGAAATCCTGATAATGATCTAGCTATAATAGTGGTTATTTTTGTTGATACATTACCGATTTCTTTTTCTTAGCAGCCAGTCTCTGAAAAATATTTGTTATCGCATATAATAGTAATCTCTCGGCATTATATTAAAATCTGTTATATTAAAAAAGGGAATAATTTATTATTGGGAAGATATTTATGAAATATTTTTACATAATTTAAAAATTTAATAAATCTCTTTGTTTCTCTGCAGGTTTCTGTTCAAACAGTGACTGCGAAATAAACTGCATGAGAAAAACTTCCACTGCAAAACTCCAGTTCGTAAGCCTGTTTTGAGTGATCTTCATATTCAAGAGAAACTGAATTTTTGTAATCAGGTTTCTAGTTGGGAAGTTTCTGAATGGAGTAACGTTCTGTTTAGCAATGGAAGCTGCATTTAGTCTGATTATTCTGGGCGTATAAGAGTTTAGAGACCTCCGGGTCAACATTCCAATCCCTTATATTTTCAGAAAACAGGAAAAGTGGCCGATTTTCAATTTCTGTTTGGCGTCGCATGTCTGTTAACAGACTTGGAACTCTACACATAATTCAAGGCAATCTGGATGCAACTTGCTATCGCGACATTCTTGAGAATATTATGATGCCAGAAGTAATTGGTGAACCACTTCTTTTACGGGGTATTTTATTTTCAGCATGATAAATCTCCAATTCATTGTGCAAGCATTGTCAAAGAATGGTTGGATCAGCAAGCTTTCAGCTTCATGTCATGGCCAAGCAAAAGAGCAGATCTAAACCCCATTGAGAAATTTGGTCTCGTCTGAAAATTACTATCAGTTACAGAGGCATACAGATGAGCTGTGGGATGCCACACCGTCATCTTAGCAACTCATGCAGTCTGATCCAAGATTAGCTCAGTCGTTGGTTTATCAATGCCCATCGCATTCAAAATGTCATACAAAAAAGAGGAGGAATAACGATGTGCTAAAGCTCCTTTGGGAAATTTAATTTATTGGATTGTTTTTATGACTATCCCGGATTTTATTGAATGTAAAAATTATCTCTAATTAATATAATGTCTGTAAATAAAAAACAAAAAATTCTTAAATAGTGTTTTTATGATGCAATATGGTTTAAATATAATAATGATTATTTATTATTCCTGTTTTGTATGTTTATAAAAATGTTCCTGAAATTTTCCAACCCTAAAGAAAGATTTCAACTCATTAGATTTGTCACGAAAGATCATTGCTATAGTATTATGTTAAAAGTAATATATTGGTATGTAATGTAATTGATACAAATATTAGTGAAAAACAAAATATTTTTCCTAGGGAAGGCAAATTTTTGGTTATTAGATTATTTTATTCGAGAAGATGAAAGAATAAAATAAATTAACTTTTGTATTTAAAAGCAAAAATCTCATATAACTAATATGATTTTCCACAAGTTGAATGATAAGAGGAAGTATGGTTATTATCTCTTCTGAAACAGTAATTTCGTTCAATAACACAGAGTTTCGATATTCGAAATTTTTGATAAATTGAACAATATCGAGATGCAGAATTCGAACTTAATGTTAATTTTTCGATTAATAAGATATTTTTAGCTTATCAAAACTCTACTATTTATATTTATTTTGTAAAGTTTTTCTTTACATGATTCAGACATTTTATAATGTTTTATTTGTTTTACGCACTTACATATTTGCTATTGATATACTCTTAAAAAGTTAAATACAAACCCATATGCTTACAGATTAGCAGTCTATTATTTACATAGATTTTCACGTGTGTCTACGTTTGAGAGAAAGATCTTTTATCACATTAGCTGATAAACCCCAGCTACAATTTGTGGAATAAAAATTAACGCAGGGATTATTCATGAGCTTAAAAAGCAGATTTTATTACTTTTGGATCGAAAAAAATTACATTCATTTCGCAAAGTTTCTTTATGACATAAAATCGATTATGTTCAATATTTATGCAAAGAAATTTAATTTCAGATTTCAAAATGATTGCACTGCATTGACTGATTTTGAAAATGATTGCATATGTATTTAACATTATTTCTGAATACTTCAAATAATTTGTCAAAACTATTGTAAATAAAACATGTTGTCATTTATTACAGAAACATTTAACAACTGCAAAATATATTAGAATAAAAGCTTTTTCTTACCCTTTATATTAGTAGAAAATGGAGCAATTAAAATTAATTCTGAAGATATTAGATTCAAAGAATATTTTGTGGCATTAACTACTACATTTTTAAACAACTTTTTGCTTATATTTCAAAGAATGGCTGATATTACCTTTCGGGATTGGTATTTTAAAAGCTGTTCATATTTTTATATAAACATAGAAATGAAATAAAAATTATATGTATTTATCAATTTTATTTCATTTCTATGTTTATAGAAAAACGATATCTATAAAGGTGATTCCACTAAGTCAAATTATTACCCAAACATCTCTAAAAGGCTGGAATTAATCAGTCAAATTACGGAAGTTCAATGGTAGAAATGATTCGCAGCAATTAACGGCTAGATAATATAGCAGGTTCTGTGGACAAGTAAAAGGTGGGCCATCTAACTTTTGAAATTTGAATTGGCTATAAAAAACATTAATGAATATTTTTTCAGAATTATGAGTGTATTAGAAAGATTAGGCATTTTCATTTAAGAATGAAACACAACATCATTCAATTGGCTGCCACCGCTAACTTGAGAGTACTCCATTCGATCAACCAAATTTTTCATAACATTTTCGATTGTTCGGGCTCCAATCGCATGAATGGCAACTTCGATTTCGTGTTTCAAGGCATCAATCGTCTATGGGTGGTTACCGTAAAACTTATCCTTAAAGGTTCCCCAGGAAAAAAAAAAGTCCAACGGGGGTCATATCGCAGCTCCGGCCAACTGACATCAGCATTTCGGCTGATTATTCGATTTCCAAAAACAGTGCGCAAAAGATCGATGTTTACGTTTGCTGTGTGGCAAGTGGTCCCGTCCTGTTGAAATCTAAATGTCACCCATATCATCTCCTTCAATTTTTCGAAACAAAAATTCGTTTACCATAGCACGGTAACGTTCGCTATTGACGGTAACGGCGGCTCCTTGCTCATATTCGAAGAAAAAGGACCCAAAGATGCCGCCGGACCAAGAACCACTTTGACCCCGTTGGATTTTTTTTGTTTGTTTGTTGTTGTTGTTTGTTTATTTGTTGGGAACCCTTAAGGATAAGTGTTTCGCTAACCACCCGAAGACGATTGATGCCTTGAAGTACGAAATCGAAGTTGCCATTTATGCAACTGGAGCCAAGCAATCGAAAATGTACTGGAAAATTGGGTTGATTGGATGGGGTACTGTTAAGCCAGCCGTGGCGGTCATTTGAATATGTTGTGTTTCATTCTCAAATAAAAATGTCCAATATTTCTAATATACCTATAATTTTGAAAAAAATATTCATTATTTTTTAATAGCCGATTCAAATTCCAAAAGTTAGTTGGTCCACCCTTTAGAACAATTAACCAACTACAATTTCTTTTAATATATTTTTGATTATCTAATTAGCATATAGTGAATAGACACTTAAACTTCTATTGTTTGAGCTTTGGTAAGTTGCAACTTTCGGCGAGATAGTTGTCGGAGCTTTGGAATTCGAAGGTAAGTCGAAGCATGCATTTCAAAATTCGGACAAATTAAAGGTCGAATTTTCAGAATTTAATAATCGGTGGAAGGGGGAGTTTCTTTAGTTTTGGCTCATTGAAACTTATGTATAGTTGGGTTTATTCAATGCTTTTTTCCATAAAAGCAAAAATCTTACGCATGATATACGTCCAGCGTGTAGTTTTTAACTAAGTATTTAATAATATAAAACTAAGTTTAAGAGTTTGACGGTTATAATCATACCTCATCTGTTAGTATATGAAATATAAAATTTTACATTAATCCTCTTTCATTTAATGTTTTCAGAGTTTCACTTCATACAATTATAGTTTCCGTAAAAAATATACTCTTTAATATGAAATCATTGGTCTTAAAATTGTCAAAAATAATATAATTTAGATTGTCTGCACCTGACATAAAAATCTCGGTGGTCACTAGGTGAGACAGAATGAATGCTGGCTTCTGCTGACCAGAAAAAAGTTTGGACCTACTTTATTTCTTTATCATTTATTAAAAACATTTTATCTGAAATATTTGATCTTTGGGTTTTGCTTTAAACTTTAGAAAACGTAAAGCTGTCACCAACTGAAATCCATTTGATACAGCTAATATTTTTAAAGTATTCAACATGAAGGCAAAATTTATAGAAATCTAACAGTCGATAAATTTCAATTTTGTGGTCATTGATGGATAAGCGAAGTCGAAACTAATCAGCCAGAGCATTTCATAATATAAACAAAAGCCCATATTGGTCTTAAAAGAAACAACATATTTATTTTTACAATTTCCATTCTTGTTTGCAACACATTACTTATTTTTTTGACACAAAAATATAACAAACTTTCAAGAAATAAAGCTTACGCAACGCTTATCATGGAACACTCCTAGTAACAACTTTTTTGAACTCAACTCATTGTTGCCACACGGCGAATCTTAATAACTATGCAAAACATTACATCATGTTGCCAATTAAGAAATCTTAATAATTATATAAAAACATTAAAGTATGATCCACTACAGTTTTTTTTTCTTGCGTCAATAGTGAAAATAATCATATAGGGAGAAATGTAGAAATAAATTAATAGAAGGAAAGGAGGAAATCAGAAGAAAAAACAAATATTTGAGCGAAATTCCACTTCAAAATGTTCAAGGATAAAATAACTGAAGGTTTACACCAGTAAATACCAGAAAATGGCCTATGCTAACGGAAAAGACATAAGAAAAGAAATATCATCACAGGTGAAAGTGAGAAGCGACTGGTTTTCGACTGTATGGTTGTATAAATTTTAAATTACTCCATTATTATTACGTATTAAAATAAATTGTAGATCACATCATATCATAAACGGAGAATCCTAAGATGTCTCAGTCGAATTAGTTGAAGATTCAAAAAATTATCCAAAGACATATATGGATATCATTTTATAAGGTATTTTCTCATTTCTTTACCTTCGCCTTTGTGGTGTAATGGAAAGCATAGCGTATTCGAAAAGTTCTGAGATCTAGTCACGGCTATGGCAGTGCGGATTTCTTCGACTTTGTTAGCTTCGTAAAATTCGACTGACTCTACAAGTGGTGCCCGAATTAAAAATGGTTGTGGACGATAATTCGTCACCTCTAGGATTTGTGACTGCCCGTCCTCCCCAGTCGCCCTTTAAAAGGGGAAGTATATAAGGTAAGTTGCTCCCTTTTGGCATGCCTTCGGTGAATAATGAATAGCATAGCCTCGAAAATTCCATAGTTCGAGTCCCGGTAAGGGCTTTGCACATTTTCGCGTTTCCTGTATAGATTAACCGAATGACTCTACAATCTAAAGACGTCTTCCCTATTGATGAAACACTCTTTCCTTTCATCTCATGCCTTCAACATGCCTAGTCTCTAAAGACTGAAGAAGAGACTGATCAAATACTGATGAAACAGAAGTCAATACTTTACTTAATATGAAAATCAGAAATACCAAGATGTTTCGAAAATGTTTATATATAACGAATAAATATCCGGTGGATGATTTTTAATATATCTGCAGAATACCTAACGGGAAACGATAAAGCATTAAGAAGAAAAATAATTTTTTACATAAAATGTAATATTTTTTAATTAAAATATTTTTAAAACTTTATGCTATTTGATTCTTGCGATTTTTAAAATAATATATTGACGAAAATATGAATAATATTTTAAGGAACTAAAAATTAGATGATAAAATTGCGCAAAGCAATACACTGTGATAAAAATATGAATAATATTTTAAGGAACTAAAAATTAGATGATAAAATTGCGCAAAGCAATACACTGTGATAAAAATATGAATAATATTTTAAGGAACTAAAAATTAGATGATAAAATTGCGCAAAGCAATACACTGTGATAAAAATATGAATAATATTTTAAGGAACTAAAAATTAGATGATAAAATTGCGCAAAGCAATACACTGTGATAAAACCGTTTAAAGCAATTCATGTGGTTGAACTCATCCTAAATTAAATTTTCGGTTATACATCTTTCTCATTTATTTATCTTTTCTGAAAGGCCTATCAGTTCGAATACCGCGAACAGGCTGGCTGCATGGGCGTTTTCGTGGCTTTCCCCATGTGTAACGTGTATACGAGACAGTTTCCCTTAGAAAGTCCTCCGCGAAGGCATCCCTCCCCTTAGGCACATAGCCCTCGAGGCTTCGCCATAATCACACACACACACATGTTACATTATATTGAATTAGTTAAATTTCCCTGCTATTTTGAAGTGCATTTTTTCTCATCTTTTAATAATATCATTCGGTTTATTTTATCAAAATATCCATTGAAAAAAGGGATCACATTAAGAGGCGTCTATTCTATGTCTTTGTACTCGGTACGATTTCAATGATCGCCATTTGTTCAGTAATTACTCCCAAGGAAACTTTTGTTGAATATTTATTTTCAACAAAAAATAGGTGATGAAGATGATCTAAAACAGCAAATTGATTTTGTATTGCCATTATAAATTTTGTTTATATGTTTTGATGGAATGTTTTTGCATTGATTTTATTAAAGCATAATGAATATGCTTCTAACTCAATATCTATGCGGATATTAAAAAAATAAAATTTATATTTCAAAAACATTCTTTCTCAGTTGTTTAAAACGTTTTCATAAAATTCTCCGCATTATTTAGGAAACCTTCACGAGTGTAAATATAGAATATATATATATATATAATAAGGAAATATGCGTGTAGCGTTCTTTCACGAATGTATAGCGTATTGCTTAATTGTGTGCAACATTTTGCTTGCTTTTTAGAATCTACAAATTATACACATTACATGAGAGAGTGAAATAAGGAGGCTACATTCATATTAAATTGAGCAAAATATTAAATGGAGAAAAACTTTACACCCGGATTCATAAGCGGATACGCCGTTTAAAGAGGTTCCTCATTTTATATCGCAGTATTTATCTTTGCTGCCGATAAAGAGCAGAAATGGCAGATAAATAAAATCAAAGAACATGGAGATGCTCCTATTGATAAAAGTGAATTAATAATTAAATAAAAGAGGAACTTGATCAGAGCTTAATTGCGTCGTCAAAGGATAACTTTTTCTCCCTCCCATTAGAATTGTTTCGTCATTTCCTGTTATTGAAGCTAGTAGAAATATTTTGTATTTTAAGAGCTGTAGTTGTTGGGGGCAGATTACATTCCACATTGAGGATAGATTTCAGTTCTATTCCTGCACTCTGTTCGGAATAAAGTATCAAATATGTTGTTACCAATTGTTGCTTCGGTTGCTGTCCTTGTCATCGCTTTAATAATACGGTAAGTAAAATCTCACATCAGCAAGTATATGTATAGCGATATACTGCGCTTCGGTTTATTATGTTTAGTATATAATCTGCTTGTTTACAAATTTAAGGCTTTTTACAATCTGTTATTAAGCCAAATGATCGGCTGTGTGATGTCAGCTGCTTTCATTCACATACTGCCTTTCATATGTATTTTTTCATTTAACATTTCACAGTATTTTAAACGTTTGCAACATTAATTCACCATTTATAAAATTAAATAGTAGATATACGGTAACATATAAATGCTCTAATAACCTTTTAATAGCATAAATATTCAAAAGTTATCATTTCTTTAGGCTTTCGAATTTTTCATTTCTTATCACTTTGCATGCTGTCATGTAACGCTGCCATTGATCGTTCGCCCCCGGCCTTCATAGAACTGATAAATGCCAATCATGACAGCTGTTGCTGACCCTGTGTGAGAAGACACTTAGGATTTCTAGAAAATTAACATTTTAGACAATTGTTTGGCAACTCTGAGACAAAAATACTTTTATTTTTTTTCTAAAATTTTAAAATTACTTTAAAATAATAGTATTTATTAAAAACTTTTTATTAACAATATTTATAAAGGGCATTGATACTCTGCATATCAATGCTGTAGAGTATGCTTTAATTGAGTATTTAAAAAAATAGTATGCCTGTTTCTCCATATTTTTGTCCTTATTGTATTTTTAACAATTATCAGAAAACTTTGAAAAATAGAGTAAAATTAAATGTGGAAATTTTATTTCTTCAATGAGATAATTACATATATTATTATATCTAAGAGATATTTTTTATTTTATTAGTAGATTTTGATAAATTAATAAATTCTTTAAAAATAGCAAAATCTATGGCTGATGAGTGTTTTAATTTTTCGTCTGTCGAAAAGATTTATTCTTAAAAATAAATTTGTAATTGATATCTTATTTTATTTTCATCCCTTTTCATTTCCGGAAATATTTTTATTTGCTGCTAACGAATGAATAAGGCACAACAGAATTTTAATTAATTTTCTTAAATTAGGAAGTATTTGCTTCCCTAAAGACATTTTCACTCCACAATTGTATTCCGAAACGACGAATTCTCGAACTTTTTCAACGATTAGATATTTATTACTTTTGGTAAGGCGATAGCTAATAGAAAATGCGTCTTTGTTAAGGATTTTGAGAAGTAGTTAAAATTTAAAACTTACTTATCTTGTTAAAAACATTCTTTTACTGCGCTCAAAACGAAGTATTAATTTATTAACCTTCGTCTATCATGCTAATTTTCCTATTATTACTGAGAAGGGAAAATATTACATCTGATTGTAAACATAACAGAACACTAAACATTTATAAGAAGTACCGGATCTAGTACGAAGATAATAAAAGTCGTCGGGGGCATGACGCGAAAAAATCAATCTGGTATCTTCACCGTAATTGTAATAACGTAAATATAAATATCTCTACTGTACTGTTATTGAAACAAATCATTTGACGTTTATAAAATACTCACATGGACGTATTCTATTGACCTTGATTCATTCCTTATTTTTAAAGTAGATGTAGAATATTGTCACGACTGATAAATATAATTAAAAGAGTGCAAACTTCATCATATAGCAGGTTGCTATCGCTGCTGTTATCTCCAAGTGTCATTGCATTGTTTCACGGCAAGCGAAATTTACAATTTACATATGAATAGAAAGTTTTTTTACGAATAATAAAACGCTTTAACAAAAAAAAAAAAAAAATGCAAAGACAGTTGTTAGCCATTTAATTCAGTTTACATAAACTATTAAAATACGAAAAATATTTCAGGAGGATAATTTTTCGAAACAAAAAGACGTGAATCTGCTTTCATATGTTGCTCTACATTTTTTCTATGTTATTTAACTGTCTATGGGTTAATAATATTTCTGATCCAAAAGCTTTAATTTTTTGCTTTAATTGTTTTAATTTATTAGCACCAGAGGTACTATTAATCTCAATCCTCATTGATGAATTCTTAGTTTTACTATTTATTTAACCAAGATTTTTACTTTTACTTTTTATTTTTACTATTTCGTATCGTGTGTTTTAAAATCAAAGTTCGTGGTAACATCAAGTGCTTACTCTCACTCATTAGCCCTAGTGAGCTACATGACCTCATTTTCGCCTTTTACAGTTTCCTATTCATTTAATGATTATATCGCAAGTTTAGACGATTTTCAAGTGTTTCAAAAGACATAGGACTCTTAAATTCACAGATAGATGTTGCTTTTACTATGTTCGAACTTTATTTATTTCCAAAAACTACAAAAAACTTCATTTTTCGAACTCTGACACCTCAACCAATCTAAATGCAGGCCGCTGATCACGTGCTTCTGCTCTTCTAGACTCACCCAAAAGCTTAGACTTTCATTTCGCCTCTCGCCGCCATTTATATAATCACCTATGCTATGCCATGATATGCAATTTAGCAAAACTTATTTTATGAGTTCTCTCATTTATTGATCTCGCCTTCGGGTGCGGTGTATTTTTAATTTTTAACTTTATGGCCTATGGTATTATGATAATATACTGGTAAGAACTCCTAGTAGCTAAAGCCAGCAGTAAAGATATGATCCAAGATCCAAGAGAGTCTCGTCAGGAAATTAGCTCCGGGTCTAGCGTCGTCTCGCGACGCACCTGTTTGAGGCTGCTCATCTTGTTCCTAGATAATATAATTTTTTGCTCTTCTCCTCAATCGAATGGCCAGTCACCCACCAGATAGGGGCAAAATGCCGTGGCGTGCGGCATCCAGCGACATTATGGATAGTGATAACGAATCAGTTATTTTCACTAAATCTGACTACAGCATAAGTAAATTCGACATGAATCAAACACATGATTATTTTTAAATCTACAGGGTACATGCAGAATAATCCCGTTTCACCAAAGGTTAAAAAGATCAAAACTTCGTCGGCTCAAGAAATCGTCGATAAATATAAGGATATCTTCGGGAAAGTGACTTCGGGAAAGCGGCAATAGAGTTAATAAGAGGTTGTAGCTGCTGCTTTCTAGAAACCGAATACCTGATGTTCTGATACACAGAGGCCCAACAGGAAGGCATTTCGGCTATATGATGACACTAAATAAGGTTCGAGAGCGCTTCTTCTGGAATTCGGCGAGAATCGTTGTTCAGGAAGTGGTGCAGATCTTGTGATGCTTACGCAGCCAAGAAAGGTCCGAAGGGGCGTAGCAGAGGAGGCTGCAGCGATACAGTGTAGAAGCGCCTTTCGAGCGAATTGCCCTCGACATATTTAGACCTTTTCCATGGACCACAGATAGCAACAAATACATTCTCGTCGTCATAGATTATTTCACGAAGTAGCCGAAAGCGTACCCAATTCCAGACCAAGAGGCTGTCACGACAACTGAAGTTCTGTTACAGGAATAGGTGTCCAGGTTTGGGACCACCCTCCAGATTCATTCCGACCAAGGCATGAACTTCACTTCGGCTGTGTTCAAGGGACTCTGAGACTTATTGGAAATCAAGAAAACGCAGACGACCCCCGTTAATTCGCAGTCTGATCGCATGATGATGAGGTTCAACCGTACAATCCTGAACCACCTCTTGCTCATGATTTCCAAGAACCAATAAAACTGGGATCCCAAGCTGCCACTGTTCCTGCTTTTTTACCGCAGTGCCGTCCACGAAAGCACTGCCTATTTTCCATCGCAGATGCTCTTCGGTCGCGATCTTAGTCTGTCAAGTGACCTGCTCTTTTGTCACCCTACGGATCGCCTGAGGAGTACATGCAAAACCTCCAAGACCGACTGGAAACAGTACACAAGTTTGCTTGAGAGAAGATCAACATCTCGAAGGACAGGATGAAGAACAGATACGAGGCAAGAACCACCGATCATCAATTCCAGGAAAACGACAAGGTGCTTTGGAATCCGAGTCGTAGTAAGGATGTTTCTCCCAAACTGCAGTCGCATTGGAAGGGTCGTAAGGTCCATTGCTGATTGTTTCAGCGTGTTTGTTGTAATATCTCGTGGACTGTAAACGGGATTTCGAACTGTCCTGAGTAATACTGGCTACATAAATTGTGTTTTGATTCTTTATCAAGTGTGGTCATCAATCACTCCAAATCAAAGAACCTGTAGAGGGCAACAATACTTTACCGTTGGCAAATTAAATGGAAGCAATGAAGATATCGCGTATATGCGATTTCGCTTTCGGAAAACCCGCTCTCAGTAAACGATTACTGCACATTCTCCCAAAAGAATTAAGTGATAACTCGAACAATTAATGCTGCGAGAAAATGAAGCCTTTTATTTTTTCAAAAAAGTTTTCTACTTAATAATACGCACCACATTTAACTCTGTAACTTTTCAATCTTATAAAACATCGCGTAGATGTTACGGAAAAGGACATTTTAATTCTTCGCATCTTCAGAAGTGATCGTCTTCTAATCGTTGAAATCCTCTGATTTTTCTGCCTGCAAATTTCTGAGCTTTTAAAAAACTTTTTGGCTACTCGAATATTTATTATAGGATCATTCTTTCGGAACCCTTTCCTCCTGTTCAGAAGTTGTGAAATTTAAGCAGTGTTTTTATAAATTGTACCATTTATGTCACTTTTTGCAATTGCTTACAAAATTAATTCGAGAATCAGCACAGAAATGCTATTTGTTAGATTTACAAGTATTAGAATTTATTTTCTTAGTTGTTTCCTTTCTATTTTCTATAGATATTATAGAAAAAATGACGACTACTGGGAAAAACGTGGAGTAACTTATGTTCCCCGTGATGACATCATAACTATAATTCGCAACATGTGTTACAAGGTAAGTTTTACGCTCATTGATAATATTTCTACGCAATACTGGAAATAAAGATTTTATACTCTGAAATCTCTTACTAATTCTCAATTTTTAATGACAGCCATTGCACGAACTGGTATTGAATCTAAGAAAACATGGTAAAGTAGTTGGGTAAGTATTCTTGTAGACTTTCATGTTATTGCTTAATATTAAATGTATAAGTAACAAATTTTTCATTAAGTATAAAAATATATAAAATGAAAAGCATTTGGTTTTAAAAAATTCTATATTATCAATTTTTATTTAAAATATCATATGCTAAAAGCATTAGGAGACTTTCTGTGTGGCATAACATGATGCCAGTACATGAAACTTATGTTGCATTTTCCACCCAAAGTTATGAAAGGTCAGAGTATGAGGTATTTCTCCCGCCTTCCTTCTTCCTTCGTGGTGTAGTGGTTCTGCACGCTGGGCCTGTGTTCCACAGGTCCGCGTTTCGATTCCCGGCGAAGGCGTTTGCTCATTTTTCATCTTGGCTGCTTCCAAAAAATACCTAATGTCTCTACAGTGGCACCCGAACTAAAAAGAGTGTTGGATGATGCTCCTCCTCACCCAGGATTTGGCGATTGAGTTCCCTAGAAAATTTAGTCGACCTTTAAAAGGGGGAGTGCAAAAGGTATTTCTCTCGCCTTCCTAGCGTGCCTTCGTGGTGTAGTAGTTCTGCACACTGGGTCGGTGGTTCGAGGTCCGAGGTTCAACTCCCGGCGAAGGCGGTTGCTAATTTTTTATCTATCCGGCTTTTCCAATTAACCTAATGTCTCTACAAAAGTTGTTTACAGCTGTTTTTATAACTTAAATGGGATTAAAATCAATTCATAATGTAGCATTAAAATTAAATATCCTCCATTCATTTTATTTTTAAATGAATTTACTCATTCAGACTCATTTCTAATTTCCCACCTACAGCCCTCAGAAAATATCTGGCAGAACTGTAAAGGTAGAAGAAATAGAAATGAATAGATTTTGTGACGAAATGTATGTGCCTTAATGGTACTTGGACGTGTCACAGGGCGCTTTTCAGAGGGATATAAAAGCATGAATTGTCACTGCTGTCAGTGCTGTTTATAAGGGGTATCATCATTACCCAAAAGCATTTTATCTATAGGACTGCAGATGGAAACGGAGCAGCTGTTCAAAAGAATTACAAAGGAAAATATCAAAATATTATCCGCCGCTTATTAAACTCACTGGTTAATAAACTCAGCCGGTTAGTATATTTAGATTTCTAAGCACCCAAACAAATTCTTACTAATCAATGGAAAAAACCGCCGTTTATTAAACTCATCTCAACCGCCTATTAAACTTAAATAGGCTAAAGACTGATTCTTCAGTGCTTGAACATCTTACTTCGACCTATCAAACTTTATCATTCAAGTATCTAGAGTTTCAATAAAACGAATTTGATCAAACTTTTCCTACTTTTCAGTCCCTGTAAATGTAAGAAACTGTTTTCATTGACCGCAGTGGACATCAAAGCAGCAGAATTTCCATATCCTAAGGTGTCAGGGCTGCTATTCCTCCTAATTTCCTTTGGGTACATAACTGGAGTCCTGAGTAGGAACAGGGAGTTTATTTAATACTTTATATTCGTGCTTGTGTAGAAGATACAACAAATGTAAGAAGGGTTAAATTTACCCTTTATTTCTCACAGTGTACAGCAATTCCCGCACTTCGGGATACAGAGACCAGCGCTTATAGTCTAAAACGTATAAAATATGACATAAACTTAAATAAATAAGAAATAAACTAGATGTTTTACAAATAGTAACGCTAAGATTGGCCTTTTGAAACTACGTATGTAGTGAGGGAAATGCAGAAAACTACAATACGTCTTCAAATATCAAGGAGAACTAAGTTCTGGCCTTAAAGGCAGATCTGAACTGACTGAAAAGCACTCGCGTCGTAAGGCAGAAGGAAGTCTTTCTGTCTTTCTTTTAACTAAAAGCTATATCTTAAATACTTATATAGTTTGCAACCTCATTTGCATAAAGAATGCTTTCGCGCTTATTCTGGTCAGAAATAGAAAGTAAGAGAGGATAGCAAAGTTTTAAAATAAAATAAACGTTAGTAAAACTTAAAATCCTTACAAAAGTTAATAAAAACAATTCATTAGAGGCATTGTAAATGAGCGAGGGTTCCTTCTGGAATATCAGCTTATAGAAGCTGGAAGTGAACGTCTATGTCCCTTATTTTAAACTTTCCAGATTCAAAATCTTATCTTTGGGATAGACACATTCTGCTCACAGACAGTTATAAAAAAGTTCAAGATATACATTTTATCATTAACGTACATTAACAGTCTTTGAATGGAAGAGAAGTGGTAATTAAGAAAGTATTGATCATGCTTGTAATCATGAAGTTGCAGATCGACTAAACAGACAAAGGGAAATTTTTCTGCCGGATAGAAACGTAAATTTTAAAATTTGACTAAATCACTGGAGGAAGAATTTTAAAATTTGACAAAATCACTGGAGGAAGAATTTTAAAAATTTCCTGTATGCTTAGCTTGTCTAAATGCCAAGCGAAAAAAATTAAGCCTGAAATAAAAGAATAAATTGTTAAAAATTTGAATGTTTTTTGTAATTGCAACCAGAGAGAAGCTACATTTAAATTGGGAAGTTCCAAACAGCACTGTACAGTTTAATTAAATAAGGTATTATAATTATTGAAGAACTAATAAACAATGCAAATGTCTAAAGGAAGCGCAAAAGAGAAAGAAAACTGAGAAAGTTTAAAATTGTTTTCTGAAATGTTCTAAGCTACAAAGATGTTTCTATTTCTAAAGCTTTTTCAAAAATTCTCTAAATGATAGGGGATAGTTTTACATTAACTGACGTAAGTTCTATTGGAGGAAGCGAAATCCATATTATTCATTAGAAATTGCATGGCGAGAAGACAGAAGCGTCATCATCCAACTGAAAAGTGAATAAAAGATGTTTTATTTGAGCTACTAAATGAATACTAGGGACTCGAAATTTATAATTCAAACAAAACTGGACTGTATTACAGAGCATTTCCAGAGCACGCATTAATATTTAAAACTGAACAGCAGTTGTTTTACGAAATTAAAGGAATACGTTATTGTTTTACAAGCAGGCAATATGGAATAAAAATTAGGAAGACAGCACTGGTTATTGACAAAAGCTGAACACTTTGAAATGCAACAGCAAACTGAAAAACAGTAGCTTTACTTATTGGATAACTGCAGCACATACATCTCTTTTTGAAAACAATTAGTTACCTTTCATCATCATTCAACTTTTGATTTTAGGATATTATCAAAGTTTTCAAATTTCATTTTAAAAAAGATGTTCAGCAAATGATGAAGAGAATTGCATTTTGTAAAAATATAAGCATTTAGAAGAAGATGAGTAAGTTGATATTGTTAGAGTTTATGCATACTTAAGCAGTTCTTGATTTCTTAAATTTAAAAACTGCATTCGAAAATATGGCTTTTACATAGATGAAGGCTCAGAGAAATGAAAAACTATAGATGATCAGTGGAGGAATGGAAAACTGAAGGTAATCAGTGGGAGAAGCTATGAAGATTCATTTTTAGAATATATGTCAGTTAATAACAATATTGAGAAAAGTGCATAAAAACTGACAATGAAAGTGTTAAAAGATTTGCAGAAAATGGAAGTGAAAGTGATGACATACCATTATCAATCGATTATAGGAAAGCACTGCAAATCCCATGAAAAGTTCTTGAACAGAAAAGTGCTGATCAAAACACTTACTAGCAGTTTTACGAAACTGAGAATGCAATTGAAGAGCTGTTGTTCAACAATATGAAAACAATCATAGAGAGAATATTAGTTTACAAGAGATAAAATTTCAACAAAAACGTAATTATAAAAATATTTTTATAAAAAATTGAAAATGTAAATTTCAAAATTATGTAAACAGGCTAATTTTACTATTTTTAATTACTATTTTAGCCTTAATTAGTTAATTAATTAACTGTTACACTTTATTTTACTTGAAAAGTTTAAAAAGTAATATTACTGTCTGCAATACACAAATCGCTGTCTATTAAACTCAGCCCATTAAAGAACTCAAATAAGTTTGGAGAGAATGTTATTTTAATAAGTGGTGGGTAATGTAGGTGGAAATTTTTCATTTCACTTCTTTTTACAGCTGTTTTATTTTAGCCCCGGTCCCATGAATAAATTCATGTCGGCACGCTTCGCGTTCGTATAGCAACGTATACCCTTCGAAATCCGCATCAGGAATCACAATTTCCAACCAGTTAGAAGCTTTTATCTTTCACTCAACTGCCTCCTTTAGCACCCCAACGCGTCATATTAGTACACATATTCCTTCACAAAATCAGTTTCATTCGCCTCTGCCTGCCTGTGCATTTTTGCCAGATATTTACCGAGCACTCCGTGTAAAATATGTAGTATAAAAGTATTTACAATGTATTACTCGTATGCGACTTTTATTTCTTAAACCTTTGATAGGATAGTCGTATGCTTTTAATTACAAAAATAGTATATGACATAACGCATATTCATATTTTGGCCTTTTTAAAATTAAAAAATCTGTTTTGTATAGATTATGAAATCTACTTTCTGTATATGTATATTTATGTTTAGTAAAAATTATACTCATTCTAAAAAATAAAACGTAGAATATTTCACTTGCATGCAACAAAAACTGGCAGAGCTATTTAAAGTTTGAAATCGTATTTCTTGAAAATTAGGGGTTGTACATAGTTGTGCAAATCCCATGAAAACTGTTGTGTTGTTGTTGCATGTTGTTGCAGTGTTGTTGTTGCATGCAACTAAATGAAATATGACATAGTTTAATAAATGTATTTGATGCTAATGGATTACGTCATAAGAACTGTTACGCGTGCTAGCGTAAAAAGCTATAGTATTAATGCAAATAAATTAATAAAAAACTACAATATTAATGCAAATGTCGTTCAAAAACGAGAAGTTTTTCACAGTTATAGAATTCGTACTGAAGAAAACAGCGATAGGCCTCATTTAATAACATCGCAACATCAGTTGCATAAATTTAAAATGGTGTTGGTGTATTTAATTTAGCAAAGCACACTAGGGCTATCTACCCAAGGGGAGGGTTGCCTTCGTGGAGGACTT